AGACGTCTTAGACGCCTAGCAAGAGGTTTTCTACAATATGTGGCACTAGAATTTGACATTTTTAAGCTCAATGTGGTTCAACGAGTCTGATACTCATTTAAGTTGCCCAACTTATGGTTGTTTTGTCACTCTTATACCTGATTTTTATCTTCCAATGCCAAGTAAAGTTGGTCTTTTGTTTCTTTAGGTCCGTGGGAAAGACACTAATGAATGAACAGTCATCGAGAAGCCACTCTGTTTTTACGTTGCGGATATCTGGAGTGAATGAGGTAAAAAATATTTGGTTGCTATGCTTTTCTGTTCACCTGTTGTAATACACTGTTTCGGCTGTATACCAAATTTTTAATTTTCTCACTCGTCTTTAGAACACTGAACAACAAGTGCAAGGTGTGCTGAATCTTATTGATCTTGCTGGAAGTGAGCGGCTCTCAAGAAGTGGGGCAACGGGAGACAGATTGAAAGAAACTCAGGTACAGTTGCATAGTAGTAGGCTTTGTTGTGGTGCTTATCTATTTTTCCTGATCGTTGAGCGTCTAATTCTTTGTTTTTTAATGTCAATTAGGCAATCAATAAAAGTTTATCATGCCTGAGCGATGTTATATTCGCCTTAGCAAAGAGAGAGGACCATGTTCCCTTTAGAAACTCAAAGCTGACAACTCTTCTTCAGGTATATTTCCTTTCCCAGTTCCTCTTTATTCATTTGGATCATGACCTGTATCTCAAAAAAATAAAAAAAATGAGTTGCCCAAAGGAGTATCTTGCGGCCAAATGATGCAACAGCCAATCATGATAACTTGGTTGTGTTGATATTGCATTTCTCACAATGCATATAACCTTCTTGTGATTTGATATATCTTAGACTGTTAAATTCTAATTAAATGTCTGAATCAGCCATGTTTGGGCGGAGACTCCAAAACTTTGATGTTTGTTAACATCTCCCCCGAATCTTCTTCCGTTGGCGAGTCACTTTGTTCTCTCCGGTTTGCGGCTAGAGTTAATGCATGCGAAATTGGTGTCCCTCGCCGCCAAACAGCCATACGTTCTGCAGATTCTCGATTAAGTTATGGCTGAATGTCATCAAGCTTTTAGATGTGCCACATTGAAGTACTTGTAATAGAAGAGTTTGTATTTTGAGGAATTTCATCTTTAACTCTCCCCTGGATATGGGAGCATGGCTGTGCTGTAATGTGTATGAAAGAAATGACATTGGGGCATTGGATTATGTTTTGAGAGAAACAGATTTATTCCTGATAAATCCTGATTAGGATATTCTGGTTGCCTCTGGCAATAGGACATTTGTGATGTATGAATTGTCATCTTGAGATTAAATATTCCTGATTGATTAGGCGACTTATCCGACTTGGAGTGGGTATTAGTTCGCCTGAGATTAGTCGGGTTGGATTTGGGACAAAGTCAGATGATCCATATTCACGGTATACCTTGCTGTCATCTGGAACGAGACATGGTATTATGCATCGCGTCATTATGAATTGCTAATGTGACTGTCGCATCCACATTTTTTAGCATTTGGATTAATGTAAAGGGAAAAGACAGTCAAGAGTTCATGCCCCCTCTCTCCTCCCAAAACATTACTAAAAACAACAATGTCGTGTATAGTAACATTATTTAGAACTGATGCCCTAAATAATGCGGCAAACTTTCATGGGTTATCGAATATGATCTGTTGTCTACTTACAGTTTGCCTGAACTTAATATGCAGATTGTATAGATCAGTGCTGCTATAGCTAGCGCAAGATAAGAAGTTGCAAGTCAGTTGGTTGACTTTTGAGCAAGTACGCGTGCACTTAACTCGTCAAAGCAAGAAGCTTCATAGCTTCAACCGTTGAAAGCTGAAAATCCATTTAGACTATAATGCCCACAATAGAGTTGACTTTGGACATTGCGTAAGAACCATTCCAGGACTCATCTTCCTTGACCTGAAACCTATTTCAAGACCAACTCACTATCAGGGTCATTCTAGATCAGAAAATCACCAACCAATATGAGAATTTTTAATGTGCAACCCATACTCATGATTTCACTGTCAGCTCAGATATTATCACGTTCATGTAGCCTTTCCTATGCCGATTCGGATTACATCGCGGGTGAGTCTTGTTCGCAATCCAACAAAACCACTGGTGAGAAGCCGTTTCAGACTAGTCTTAACGATCTGTTAACTTCTCTGGCGGCAAATGCGCCTCTTCATGGTGGCTTTTACAAGAGCGCTGCCGGACAAGGCTCAAACAAAGTTTATGGCCTCGTTCAATGCAGAGGTGATCTCTCAGTGAATGATTGCGCCAACTGCAGCAACAATACCATTGGAGAGGCACGGCATGAGTGCCCAAATAGCAAACGGTCACCATCTGGCATAGGGGAGAGGTCGATTTTCAACCTTGTTGACATACTTTTGCAAACTAAATGAAATAAAAGGTAAACTTCGTAGTTTCTAATAAAAAGTAATGTGAGATCAACTCTGAATCCTCATACTCAATTCAATCTACATCCATACATTCTCTCTCTTGCTTGAAGTTACTTCTCCCTCTTAAGTCTTGAGCACTGGCAATTTGAGTCACATATTTTCCCTGGAAACATTTCAGCACTGGGATCTCACATGGTCCAATCGCTTTTGAATTTAGTCTCCAATATATCTGATTGGTACACCTACATTTTCCTCAATATTCCACACTACTTTTGTCTGTTCTTGAGTACTACTAATACATGAATCAAAACATTTAATTAAGACTGAATCAGAAGATGTTTTTCTGAGATGCAGTTGGTGTTTCCTGAGCTACTCAGATGAGAATTTCTTTGGAAAAGTCGATGGACCTTTGGTGGGGTTGTTCAATGAAACTGACTATGAAATCCCATCTGTTGCTCCAAAGGGAATCGCGTTCATGAGCGAACTCACAACCACAGCTCCAGAGCAACCGTGGATGTTCCAAGTTGCTGTTCTGGATGTTGGAGAGAGTGGGAAAAGATACGGACTGGCTCAATGCAGGAGAGACATAAGCAAATCCGATTGTGCAGTGTTTGGACAATCAAATGGCGACATTTTCTGCGATGATCGGGAACAAAAGAGGGTGGCAGATAGGGTCTGGCTGCAACTCGGAATACCGTGATTATCAGTTCTATTCAAACATCTCCAATCTCGCAAATACAAATAGAAGTGGTGAGCTAAGTAACTTCTTATTCATTAATCTTGAATTCGCTAAAGATATCATAGCTTGCATTACATAATTGTGAAGCATGAATAACAACATACATCATAAAACTCACATCTGATAACTGAAAGTGCGGGTTTCTGTGAAGGTGATTGGACCCACGACTAGCAGGGACGCAACAAGCATGACTGTTGTAGTATTAATCCTTCTGATATTCTTGTAATCACTTATTTACTACTTTTCTTGTTGGTTCATTTGTTACCACTTATCGGTCATATCAAGGTAAAGAGTGTCGCTTAGTGACACTGGTAATCATGTCTACCAATTCTTTGCGGATGCCATGAACATAATTCATATTCAAGCAAAAACATTTAGAGCGAAAGGCGGTACTAGAACCGCGACTCATTTCCTGTTGTTCCGGTGAGCACTGTGATTTTTAATTTGTATAGATCGCTAAAATGAAAAGGATCGAAGCTACCCAGAAGAAAAAGAAAAGTTTTAGCTTCACCCAGAAGCATTCTAGTGGCGAAAAAAAAGAAAAAAGCGATCTCAAAAACATAAAGAAATTTAGTAGGGGGTATAGAAAGATTCCTAGTCCTTAAGGTTCATAAATCACGATAAGGAAAGTCAGACGCAATTGCACTATTAAAGCAAGACATAGCAGAAGCAATATTGCGAGCAGACATATTCCTTTTGTCACCTCCCTCAACTTTATGAAGAGCAATTGTTTTTCAGCTTTTGTTATCAGATTATGAGGACCACTACACGCATCACTCTCTTAAGAGGCCAGCCTAAACCATTTGTTTCTAACATATTTGTACCTTCACTTATCGAATCTCATACACGTTTAGCATTGAACCTGTGACATTACTGCCAAACTTCAACTTCTTTCATACCTCATTCAAGTATTAAACTATGTTTAGTTTGGACTCTTGATGTTTTTGACTTATGATATACATATGTCTTAGTCTGTAGATAATAATGTGCTGGAGACTTTAACACAGTATAGGTAATGTTCTTCCAATATTGGGGAAGAATGCAAACCTATCTAACTTATTCTCTTTCTGGTCTACTTGGTCTCGAGAAATTGAAATATAATGCAATTTGACTAGGCGAAAAGATGAGGCATAAGCAATTACCAGTGCGAAATGGTAATATTGTAGTCAAGAAAGTTGTTCTTTGCCAAGTAGTCAACAGAAGGTATTAGCTCAGCAACTTCTGATGAAAGGAGAAGCTATTTTATAATCATTTTTCTTGGGTAGATTCTAGTGAATGCAAAAGAGCGTTTTCAATCAATGAGTAACAAACTTTGAACCAGTACAAACAATGTATATTGGAGACGAGATGTTGAGGTGGGGCCGCAAAGACCGTGGTTCAAACCCTGACTAAAGGCAAAAAAACCAACAAGTTTTGGAGAGACGGCACAATTCTTATAAAAACTCAGATGCAATGACAGATCTTAAGGACACCGGCGAAGTGTTCATACTCTCAGTTACTTCTATTACTTCATGGAAGAGCAAATGATTCTACTTTGTGTGTACAGAAACATTTTAAGCAACAAAATAAACTCTTAAAAAGCATATGGCATAGTCAGTTTTGTTGGTAATAAGGAAATATTCAAACGAGCACAAGATTGAAGTGGGAAAGCATTCTACAACCATTTGGAATAGACACATCTGCTGGTGAATTGATCAACATTTGTCACTGTGACTTGTATTGAATGATCTTTCAGTGATATTCTTGAAAAGGATATCAACAGCCAAACGTAAGCTCAAACATGAAGAAAGCATACCGAAAGAAAAAACGTAGAGCAGGTGTAATCGATATACTATATGTAGCTTCACCAAAAAACCTTGATCATTTCATTACTCCACTGTACCAAGTTCTAATCAACCATAAAATCACATGCAATTGAAAATATTAAATGGTTGGGCCTTCTTTCCTGTGCCTTTTGCTCCTTAGTTTCTTGCGCAACCACCATGAGCTTCACTCCATTCTGATCCACATCCATAGCAAAACTGAAACTGGCACCTGCATTTGCAAGCCGCCGAGGAACAATCGTTCATTTACCATAAAAAATTGACGACCCACATTCCGGTAATTGGCCATCGTATATCTTAAAACTATATACCCCACAAGTAGTAGAAAAGGATGAACAATTAAACATTCACAAAATTAGGTACCACTAACTCTGCAGCAAAATTCATAATAAAACACTAACCAGCGCTATTTTCAGCACCGGTGATCCACAGAACTAAAAAAAGTGGCCACAGTGCTTCTAACAGAAAGACAGTATATGTCAAACATCTTCTGCGTGATTATCAAACTACAGACTGACCATTGCCAAGTCATGCAGCTTTCACACTGTGTATTCAAAAGTGTTTTAACCACTACAATTTGATGAAATACACTAAGACCTTGCGCTTGGATTACATTATCATGAATTCATTTGCCTTTTATGTCATTTAAATTTCAAAAGCCACTATGAATAACAATTCCTCTTAAAAATGGAGGATCCCCTGTTATCCTTATTGCATCAATCAGGCACAAGCAACAACTCTGTGACATCTATAGGTTTCAGAGAAGTCTCAACAAAGAAGCTATACTGTGCCAAGCTTCTTGATATTTCTAGACAAATAATTCGGTACCCAGTGAATTTTTTTTTTTCGGTATACGTATCACAAACCTGCAAATGATGTGAGGACAACCCAGAGTCCTCTCCACATAAAATTTGCATTTGGGGCATCTCCCCCATTTGTTCTCCTTCGCAAGCTCCCTCACAATGAGATCCTCCCTCCCTCTCTCATCCTCATTCAGCGACTGAAACTCCTCGCACGAGACGCCGGCGTGCCACGGCACGGAGCACTCGGCGCAGAACAACCGATGGCAATATGGGCACTCACACTCCCTAATCACCTTCCCATCATCACAGTCCTTGATCAAAAGGGCCGAGCAGTTCTTGAAAGGGCAGTAGAACTTCTGCGACTCGAGAAACATCGCCTCGCACAACGATTTCTCCCACATGCAGAGAACATTCTCAGGGAGGATTTGTCTGCAGGAATCAATCTGCAGGACGCCCTCACACTCCAATCCTGGGCATCTGATGGTGGTGACGTTTTCCAGGACTTTGGCCTCCACATGCCTGCTTATGCAGAGAGAGCAAAAGGTGTGGGAACACACGGTCCTGATCCTGAACATCTCTTTGGCCTCTTTTCTCTCTGCACAAATCTCACAGAAGCTCTCTGATGACTGACCACCCTCTTTCTGAACACCCATCTCAACCGGGTCTATGACTTTCATCTGACTTCTGTTTGGGTCTGCCTCAGCCACAACCACTAAAGACGAGAAAGACCCAGCATTCGTTTTCGAAGGATTCATGTTCATCACGCAGGAGACTTCTAAAACCTCCTGGAACTGCAACTCTAGGGCGTACTCAGAGTCTGGTACTTGAGGAGTCACCGTCTCCTGATTCCCATGATCTTCACCATCATCAAACAGTGACGACAAGAATAGATCATCCTGCAAGAGAAGATCAGTCGCCGCTCCAGTTCCCATGCTACACAACTCCTATGGATTATTTATGGCAACACCCGTTTCAACTTTTCTTTCCTCGGAATGTGCTGCTGGTCTTGTGGGCTTGTTTGTCTTTGGAAGGTCGATCTGTTTGCTTCTATATTTAAAGATGCAGTGTGCTGGGCATCAAATCTTATCGGAGAGCAGTGTACCATGCGTCAAATCTTCTTGGAGGAGTAGCTCTCTTTGACTGGGACTCTAAAACCTTCTTCAGGAAGTTCATTTTTTTTTCTTTAAATTTTATTTTTCTGGATAGTGCTATCGTTTTTTTTTACAACTCTAGCTTTACTTGGGTCAAGTCAAGAGATTATTCATGAAAACATAGTTAAAGAAAGTGATCAAAGATAAATATGCTGGCAAAAGAAAAGCAAAAAAATTTGCTTTAGGGAAATAGTTTTATATGGTGTCAATCTACAAGAAAGGAAAATCAATTTTCGAAAATAGATCTCGAGAAGGAAGATCTCCAAGTTAAATCTCCATGATCATGATAATCTAACGATCGGATTTAATTGGAAATTGGAATGATTTGATTTATTTACTATCCGTTTTTTGTTTAGTAATTACCTAAATTCATATGCGAAAATACCCGAACCGTACCGCATTTTTTACCCAATAACCACTTCCAATTTCCCTTGGCCAGAATTCGACATAAACGAAGGGTTGTATCCGATTGGCTATTAACCACTAATTGTATAAGTTTAGGGTTAAGGTGCGATATTCGAAGCTTTAAGATGCCGAGTTTTTTGCTTTTAAGATGATACATTCGTTTAACAGAGGCCATAGAGCCAACATTTTATCATACATGGCAATGGCAAAGAAGCTCGCTCAGAAAGTTTTACATGGGGAAGATGCTAATAATAATAGATCTAATTTACTATCGAATGGCGTCCACCATATAGCTAATCTCGTTGATATATATAGATGGTCGCACAAGTACGACTTTATAGGTGGCTCTCACAGGTTCAAAAGGTGGCTGCCACAGTGTAGCATTTTGTCCCGCATGGCACTTGGTTCTCGTTGTGCACAAATATCAGTCGATGTTTAATGCAGGTGATATCATTTGATCACATTTCGTATTGATGATCACTATCACACACAATGAACACATATTAACACAATTGATCCGGTCATATATGTAAAATATGAAATATAGTTACGCAAATATTATATTGGGGTAAACGACTTATATTATCGATCTCTTCCAAAATCACAGTCTAGATTCTTCAAATATTCATGTTTTCCTAACCATGGCTCAATCGATCTTTCTTCTTCTCATTGATTATCTCCCTCGGTCACTCCCTCAATTTCAAGAAGAGCTGATTCACTCTGATCGTCGAATGAAGCATAACACATAAACCAATCTCCTTGAGTCTCTCAAGATAAGCTTGGCCATATAAAATGCGTCCACTAAGCCAATGCTCTGGAATGCAAATGAGCTATACGTGTCCTCCGCCATGCGCTTTCGTGCAAGACAAGACTTTAGTCTATTTGACCAAATCCAGTTCATACGCATGTACTAGCACTTCTGTATAATGGCATTCAAGACCTTCAATTTATGACTCTACCTGTTGTTGTGTACCTCATCTGATTAATGATATTCCAATATTTACACCAAAAAGAAATTAGTAATGTAGAACAAAGACAATAAATTAAGATATAACATGCGACTTTTTCATTTTTAATCACTGTTGCCACCTTCGGATAGGATTTAATTGTTTACTTAATCTAATCTTGTCGGATACGCACTTCGATTTTTTTTTTTAACACTAAACATGTGGGATTTTCCTATTATATAATGGTTGACATATAGTTTCAATATTAACAATATTCTTGAAATGTGCATAATATTAGACATTTCAAAGGGACAGTAAAAAAGGTCGTCTCTAATTATAAACTCCACTGGAGGATGATCTTTAGCTGTTCTTATACTTCTATATAACTCTTGTAGGATGGACAATGTTTTACTTATCTGCTTATAAATCTATTCTCCTAAAAAAAATATGTCGGCATGATTACATCATCATTGCAGGGCAAAAACAGAAAAGTGGTAATTATCACATCATTATTGCGGGGAAAAGACAGAAAAGTAATAATTATTTCTCGTCTATTGATTTTTCAATATCTTCCTTGCGGATGCGATCGATGTCATCCATATTTAAGTATAAACAGTAAGAGCGAAAGGTGGTACTAGAACCGCGACTCATTTCGTGCTAGTCAGATGAGCAGTGTGATTTTCTAACTCGTGTAGGTCATGAGAGTGCTAAAATGAGAGAGATTGAAGCTATAAGGAGGGAAAGAAAAGTCTTAGCTTCACCCGGAAGCGTTCTAGTGTCGAAAAAGCAAAAAGTGATCTCAACGAGATAATTTGCATGGAAAAGATTCCTAGTCCTTTGGGGTTCATGAATCTTGATAAGGAAAGATAGACGCACTTACCTCCAATGCTGAAACAAGACAAAGCATGAGTGATATCATGAGCAGACCTTTTGCTTTTTAACATCTTCCCCAACTTTATGAAGAGCAACTGCTTTTAGATTTTGTTATCAGAACATGGAGACCACTATGCACATCACTCTCTCAGAGGCCAGGCTACACCAATTGTTTCTAACATATTTGTGTCTTCATCTATCGAACATCACAAGCGTTTAGCATTGAACCTGGGACACTAGAGCCAAATTTCAACTTCTTCCGTACTGCCTTCAACAAGTTTGGAGAGATAGCACAATTCTTATGTATACACAGACGCAACGGCAGATCTTAGGAACGCCGGCGAAGTGTCCACTCTCTCAGTTACTTCTGTTGCTTCATGGAAGAGCAAATAATTCTACTTTGTGCTTATAAACTCTTAAAAAGCATAAGGCACAGTCAATTTTTTAGTTATTACGGAGAAATCCAAACAAGCCACAAGATTGGAGTGGGAAAGCATTCTAGAACCAAATGGAATTGACACAGCCGCTGAGAAATTGATCAATATTTGCCGCTGTGGCTTGTATTGAATGATCTTTTAGTGAAATTCTTGAAAAAGAGATCGATAGGCGTCTGGAAGCTCAAACATGAACAAAGCACACCGGAAAAGAATGTAGAGCGCGTTTAATCCTTATACTAGATGTTGCTTCTCAAAGAAACCTCGATGACATCGTTATTACACTGTACCACAAGCTCTTATCATTGGTAAATTCAGATGCAATTGATCATATACGTGGTTAGGCCTTCTTTGCTGGACCGTTTGATCGTTAGTTTCTTTCACAACCACCATGAGTTTGAGTCCATTCTGATCCACATCCATAGCAAAACTGAAACTGGCACCTGCAATTGCAAGCCCGAGGAACAACCGTTCATTTACCATAAAAATTTGACAACCCATATTTTGATGATTGGCCAGCATATATTTATATTCCATTCTTAAAAACCATTTAGCACACAAAAAGTAGAAAGGTATGAAGAATTGAACATTCAAAAAACTTAGGTACCACTCACTTTGCCGAAGGATTCAAAATGAAGCACCAACCAGCGCGATTTTCAGTGCCGGCGATCAACAGAATTAAGCCAAGTGGCCGTAGTGCTTCTAAGAGAGAGACAGCTAGTGTACCTTTGTATATCGCTGATAAGGCTATATCAAACATTTTATGGTTAGTTATGGAACTACATACAGAGTTGTCTAGTCATGAAGCTTTGACACTCTGTATTTAACCACTACAATATGATGAAATACACTGAGACCTTGTACTAGAATTACATTATCATGGTTTCATTTGCCTTTTGTGTGATTGATAGCCACAATCAATAACAATTCCTCTGAAAATTGGAGAATCCCCTGTAATTTCTATTTCATTCTCACACATGAGCAACAACTCTGCGACATCTATAGGTTTTCAGAAAATCTCAACAAAGAAGCTATAGTGTGTCAAGCTTCTTGATTTATCTTGATGAATAATTCGCTACAAAGTAAATTTTTCAGTGAACGTATCACAAACCTGCAAGTGATGTGAGCACAACCCTGAGTCCTCTCCACATAAAATTTGCATCTGGGGCATCTCCCCCATTTCTTCTCCTTCGCAAGCTTCCTCACCATGAGATCCTCACTCCCACTCTCATCCTCATTCAGTGAACAATACTCCTCGCACGACACGCCGACATGCCATGGCACAGAGCACTCGGCGCAGAACAACCTATGGCAATATGGGCACTCACACTCCCTGATCACCTGCCCATCATCATTGTCCTTGATCAACAGGGCCGAGCAGTTCTTGAAAGGGCAATAGAACTTCTGCGACTCGAGAAACATCGCCTCGCACAGCGATTTCTCCCACATGTATAGAACATTCTCAGGGAGAATTTGCCTGCAGGAATCAATCTGTAGGACACACTCACACTCCAATCCTGGGCATTTGATGGTAGTAACATTGTCCAGGACTTTGGTCTCCACATGCCTGCTTATGCAGAGAGAACAAAAGGTGTGAGAACACACGGCCCTGATCCTAAACATCTCTTTGGCCTCTTTTCTCTCTGCACAGATCTCGCAGAAGCTCTCTGCTGACTCACCATCATCTTTTTCAACACCCATCTCAACCAGGTCTATGACTTTCATTGGACTTGGGTTTGGATTTGCCTTAGTCACGTCCATTGAAGAAGAAGAAGAAGACCCTGTATTTGTTTCTGAAGGATTCACATTCATCGCACGGGAGACTTCTAAAACCTCCCGAAACTGCAACTCCTGGGCAAATTCAGAATCTGTAACTTCATGAGTGGCCTTCTTCTTATTGCTATCATCTTCACTTTCGCCAAACAGTGACGACAAGAGGAGATCATCTTGCGAGAGAATATCAAAGCGCCGCTTCATCTTGTAAGTTTCTTATCTCTGAGTGTGCTTGTTTTGTGGCTTGTTTGTCTTTTGAAGGCCACTTTCTTTATTTTTATATTTTTAAAAAAAGGAGTGTACTATGCATGAAATCTTAGCAGAGAAGTTGCTTCCTATGATTGGGACTTCAATTCGTTCTTCAGGAATTTTTTTTTATTTTGATTTTATTGTTTGGATGGTGCTATCCATTTTTGTAAAAAAGTTTTTACTACGCCAGCTTTGTTTTGTTTGGTCAGTTACTACGCTAGCTTTACTTGGGTCAAGATTGGCGGTCATGAAAACAAGGTTAAAGAAAGTGATCCAAGATAATTATGCTCGCAAAAGTAAAGCAAAAATTCTCTTAATTCTTATAAGGTGTCAACTTAAGAAAGCCCAGGAGGCTTGTGGCCTGCTAGTAAAGAGATTAGGGGGATGGCGCTAAAGAGTATCAGGTCCGGAGTTTGATCCTTGTGAACACCGCACACACACACCTACAAAGTAGAGAGGAGTTGGACAAAAAAAACTTAGAAAAGGAAAATCAATTTTAAATTAGATCTCGAGAAGGAAAATCTCCCCATTAAATCCTATTATCGTAATAATCTCAAGTTGAATTAGATCTAGTCTAGACTTGAAAAGACTCTTTGAATCAAATTATTTCAATTCCAATTAAATCGAATCGGTCCTAGTCCATCTTTTACGGTTAATGTAAATCTCACAACATCGTAATGGTGCAGAAGAACCGTCTTTTTTTTTTTTAATTATTATTTACATTTTATTTGGAAAAATTCCAGAAGTTTATCTCATTTTTTACCCAATAACTGCTTACATACTTCTACTTTAAAATAAATACCTAAAATTTTCTTTTGGAGACTACTTTGCACACTTGCATAAATTATTCCCATGTCCCTATTAACAAAGATGCCGAATTTTTTTCTTGATAATGCCCATCCCCAAACCCTAAATTCTCACACGCCCCAAAACATTTAAAACCAATTAAAAACCAAATCACTAAAACCTTAAGCAAGATACTAAAATGGGGGAAATCACCAAAAAAAATCATAAACCTATTGTATTTATGCCAATTCAGTCTTCAACTTTTCAATTGTGCTAATTAAGTCCTAAATCTTTTGACAATTTACAATTTAGTTATTCTAGCCAATTTTGGCCTGAAATTACTAACATGAAAGTTGGCCCTCCTACGTGACATTGCCGATACTAACGTGGACAATGTTGTAATTAATTTTTTTTATTTTCTTCTTTTTCTTTCTTCCTCCATCAGTTGTCGAGCCTCAGCAACGGCCATAGGAGAGGGCCAACGAGGCTCCACCTCGCCATATCCCAGCGAGGGTGAGCCTCGCCCAAACCCAGAGAGGTTGGCCCTCTCCCGTGGTCGGTTGCTGGCCATCACCTGTGGTCGGTCGCTGGCCATCGCCGAGGCTCGGCAATTGGTGGAGGAAGAAGGAAAAGGAAAAACAAAGAAAGGAAAAAAAGAAAAAGAAAAAGCATAAAAGATTTGATTTTTTTTAAATTGTAAAAAATATTTATGTCAATGTCGGCCGGCGTCTGTCGTGCCACGTAAGACAACCAATGTCCACGTCAACAATTTCTAGCCAAAATTGGCCGGAAGGACTTAATTGGCACAATTGAAAAATGTTTAGAATTGAATTGACATAAGTGCAATAGGTTTATAGTTTTTTTGGTAATTTTTATCTACTAAAGTGAGTATGTAATGAGAGGAAATTAAGTTTTTTCAATTTAAGGTTTTCAATTTATGTAAGGAGGGTTGCCCGCCTCGCCCAGACCTGGCTGAGGGCCGCCAGTGGCGGGCGGACCCTGGCCGGGGCCTGGTGCCCCCGCCTGTCGTCCCCCCACCCTCGCCGGCCCCTCCCGATGATGAAGCGCCCTGCCTGTCCTCCTCCTCCACTTTTTTATTATTAATAAATTTACCTTATTTTTAAAATTCAATTTAAATAAAATAAATATTAAACTAGTAATATATAATAATAAGCCACGTTATCGTCACGTAGGATAGAAAAAAAAATAGAAAAGCCACTTTAGCATTTTCCGTTAGCCAAATTGGACAGTGCTAACTTTATGACTATTGAACCAATTTGACAAGTTGTAGGACTTGATTGCACTTTTTGCAAGTTTTATGACTCAATTGCATTTTCGTGATAAGTTTTAGGACTTCTAGTGAATATATCCTAAATTAAAAAAAAGGATAAACCTGAAAACTCGAAACGAGCTGAACCGACCCAAACTTTTCTTTTGTTCGGGGTCTATGCGAGTCGAATCTGGGATGGGGTCATAAAGAACATATATTCTTCATGTTCGAGTCGGACACTAGTGGAGACCAACGCGATCTGAATTGTTGACACTCCTTATACCAATCAATTTTTTTGCTAAGCAAAAGATATACTCATGTTTCGCCAGAAATAGATCCACGCAACGAAATCCCTTTCACCGAAAATTGATCTTCAATTTTTATTGAATTGGGTTCAGTGGCAATTCAGACAGGAACCAGAAAGAGTAACCAAGAAACGGAACTAACTACTTTAAAAAGAAAGTAAATACAAGGACCGGAAAGATATATAAATTAATAAGCTAAAAGACACATAGTTTGTGTGGTTGACTATGTCCTCCTGTGGAACGATTCAACCCAACTTATAGAGCGTATTTCAAAACGTAACCATATCCAAGTGGTTGATATTCAAATTAAAGATTACGACCGCATCTCCACGATTTTAGGCTCTATGATCACAATCCATGATTGCACTTCAAACTTATCTATAAGCAGTTACAAATCTTCAGTTGTCACTCGACTCAATTGCATCTCCTTTGAAGAATGGAGAATGGGCTTGAAGTATACTTCAAGGCTCCCTTCGCTTTGAAGAATGGGCTTGAGGAATCAGGTGAAGGGAACATTGATGGCTCATGGATAGGCGAAAACTTAGAGGGAGCGGTTGCTGGAATCTGTAGGAACACCGACAGCATCATCATCGATGGCTTTGCCTCGAAGATCCATGCCGATTCTGCCCTGAAATCTGAAGCCTTAGCTCTCCATGCAGTTTTGTCGAAGCTGGTGGAGACAAGGAAGTTTAAGTCTTTCACTTCAACTGATCTGTGCGTGGAAACTGAAGTAGAAACAGACTGCTTATCACTTGTTGAGTGCTTATCAGGTCGAGCTCAGAGCCCGTGGACCGTGAAGGTTATTTTAGATGAATGTAAGGCTTTGTTGGACCAGCTAAATGGAGTGTCTGTCTCTTTTGTGCCCCGTGAAGCTAATAAGGTAGCGGATTGGGTTGCTAAAACCCACCGGGAAAACCATCTTACTAGTAGTTAGATGTTTAAGCCCCCACACCCACTATGGGTTCTGTCATGTACCGATTTCGGACTCAGTTACATTTCGGTCATGTACCGATTTCGGACTCAGTTACATTTTGGCAACGTGTTAGTAATGAATACTTTCTCGACCAAAAAAAAAAATATCGATTTTTGCATAGATGTCATGTCGATTGAGAAGGCTCGATTATTTTAGGTGTCGACAACTCATGTTCATTTTTATTTGATTTAATTGGTGAGTTCATGTAGTTGTCTTGTTCGAAGTGGTGATAGATTCCCTCTCAAGTCTCACGAGCAACCAATGTCTGAGCAATTGCTCTAGCCTTTGGAGAACCTTCAACTTTGTGTGTCGAGAAACTCGAGATTTTAGGTTCGAGTCTTACCCAATTTAACTGCTTTGAGCTATATCTTAATATAGCAATTCCTCACGGATCTCTAGCATGGACATACATTTAGATGGCATGCCTTTGACTATATTGAAAAATGCACTTAGTTTGATGCATAAAATCCGGCACAAAAACAGTAATTGCTAGGAAGAATTATATCACGAGAATGTAATTTTGATGATCTGAAAACGATGACAAACACAAATTAATGCATAAGGCAAGTTGGTCTCCCATTTGTCAAGGCTAGCGTGGATAAGGCTCGGTCACAGAAACCTCGTTTTTTGAGAACTGGTTCGATTTGCTTCTTGATTTGTCGACATCAGACACCCTCGAATCGTAACCTTGCGTAGATGACATATCGGATTCGATGCCGCTATGCATGAAGAATGCGGGTTGTGATGGCACTTGGAGCGTGACTGAGTGGCTGTTAAGCATGAGAAGGACCGATGCCATTGTCGGCCGGTTAACCACGTTTTCTTGGACGCATAGCAGACCAATGTGGATGCACCTCGTAATTTCGGTACTTGAACCCGAAGTTAGAGAGGTATCGATGATGTTTGATATTGTTCCTTCCCTCCAATTCTTCCAAATCTGCAAACATTTGACCAACATTGAGCAGGTTGATCTCCGAAACATTATGCTAAATGAGAAGGTATGTTGTTATACTCACATAGCTTGTAAGGACCTCCGTGTTATCGCCCACCTGGAAAAGATTGTTCCTCTGACCACTCACAATCTCCAAAACTAGCACACCAAAACTGAAGACGTCGGACTTGACCGAGAAGTTTCCATGCATTGCATACTCCGGCGCCATATATCCACTGTGCATCACAAGAAATCCATCATATTAGCTCTATAGTTTGCCTATGTTATTTTGGTAAGCATTAGCTTTAGCAGGTTGTGGCACTTACTAGGTCCCCACAATTCGGTTTGTCTCTGCCTGAGTTTGGTCCAACTCAAACAGCCTTGCCATACCGAAATCCGATATCTTAGGATTCATGTCCGAGTCCAACAAAATGTTGCTGGCTTTAAGGTCACGATGGATAATACGAAGTCGAGAGTCTTCATGTAGGTAAAGTAGCCCTCGAGCGACGCCCATTATAATCTTGTAACGCCTATCCCAGTCTAGATTTGCACGCTTCAGGGGATCTGTCCATTTTGTTGAAAATCACATTCTATAAGACATCCCTTAATCAATTCATGAGGATCCGATTTCAAGAATGACTACCCGAGAGACATACCGAATATGAACTGATCAAGGCTTGAATTGGGCACAAACTCGTAAATGAGAAGCCGCTCGACTCCTTCCAGACAGAAACCTAGGAGCCTGACCAAGTTCCTATGTTGTAGCCTAGCTAGTAACATGACCTCATTCTTGAATTCTACTTCTCCTTGGCCGGAATTCCGAGACAGCCGTTTCACCGCGATTTCCTGTCCATTGGAGAGTTGACCCTGAATTTTCATCAAAGTAGGTCCTTGTGAGTGTTGATTGGTACATTGAAGCATTTCGAAGAACATCGGATTGATGTTATTTATGACAATTTTGTTGCTTAAAGTTTGAATGCAAGAGACTAGAGGATGCTTTGTTAATTATTACCATGTAAACAGCACCAAAACCGCCTTCTCCAAGCTTCTTGGAATTAGAGAAGTTATCCGTTGCCTCTCTGATAGTGCCGAAATCAAATTGCAGCGACTCCGCTGTGCTAATTTCATCCACGACTTCACCTAGAAAGAGAAAAATGCAGTCATTCAGTGCGAGCAGCATTGTCTTTCCATAGTTTTCGTAATGAGAGTTCACAAACTTTCAGTATACATAATTGCACCTGCACGCATAGATAATCAACTGGCTCCTTTGGCCTGCTCGATAAGGTAATGTTAACTATAGACAATGAGAAATGTGTAAACGGATATGTCCAAGCGTGGCACATGAACATATAGATCGAAGTATCAATTCCATGTTTTGAAATCTTCATGAACAGCTGATGTTCCAATGCAAAAAAATCTAAAGACTCACCTTCAACTCTTTGCCTGGGCTGCTTCTTCTTCCTTTTCACTATCAGGAGTACGATAACACCGATAAGGAGTACCGCAGAAACACTTGAGGCGACCACAATGATCACAGTCGTATTCGAATTGCTCTTTCCACCTGCAAGAGCAGGCACATTATGTTTACGATCATTGCTCACTGACCACAATGAAACCAACTGGAGAAATCACGAAAGCGCCATTTCGAATGTGGAGACGAAACGCATGTTAAATATACATCACATCATTCTTTGATAACTCGAGGTAAAGTTATTCGGATTTCTGGATTTTGTCGTCTTACAAAGTTTCGTCTAATAGAGAGTATTAACACTTGAAAAATATCACATTATTCTCCAGAATTTGAAGTTTTTGGGTCGAATCGGTTACCTTTTCAACTCCAAGTTCATTACTTTCATGAATTTCTTACGGAAATCAGAGTAATGACAGTGCAATGGTTTACAGAAACAGAGTGGAGCAAGGAACAATCAATGCTGGTTTGCAAATGCTCTGGTCAAAGATTTCTGCAGAGCTATAGGATTCTCCCCATTTGCACATATGGGACAACTATATACATGACATGAGGATCACCAACGAAAAGGATAAAATAGATTAATTACACTTTTTTGTTAAAAAAATTAGGAGGAATTTCTTATCCAACTCAATCTCGAGAAATGCTATACGCAATAAGAGATCCCAGCGGAACCCTCTTATTAAGTGGATTTGCCAAATTTTTATGGGTTGTTGATCATTTTATGCACGGATCCCACTTATTTCAGCACCCATTAAAAAATTCGCCACGTCATTTGGTAAGAGGATTTCGGCAAACTTCTTAGAATGTCTAATATGCTAATCAATCTTATCCTAATTAACTTCATTTTGGGAAGATCAAGCGCGATTAAGGTAAGTTTCAGCCTCTTTTTCCTTTGACGTCGGATGTTATAAAGTCCTAGTGAAAATCTGAGATCTCATACAAGTGCTTGTCACCAATGTTTCGATTATTCCTACGCAATTTTCATACCCCTTTCTTTTATTTTTGTACAACTTTTTGCGTTTGTATTAATTAACAAATAGTGGCGACAGAATGATGAGAAGTAAGGAAGATCGGCTAAGCCTAGCCTAGACTCACTTTACTTATCAATTTAAATATATCATGTGACAACTTGTGAGCAATGAATGCCATAAGTTGTGATGCAATGAACTGACCATGATAGTTGACCGGTAGCCACACATCTGCTTTTGCCGAAAGTATGGACCAACGCACAGCTTCTTTTTGGCGACAAGAGCCAAAAAAGACATAATCGCCTTGTACCTAACTTTTGAACAAGAGCCAACGTACCTGGTGGTGGAGGCAGCGCATCTGCCACCGGCGGTGGCGGTGCGGGCGACGGAAGTGGCTCGCCGACTGGGTCAAAGAACCGATCATTGGTCTCATACCGAAATTGGCAACTCGGCGCCATGATCCTCACTCCCATCTTCCCGGCACAGCAGTTCGTGAGCCTTCCGATGACTGTCACCAGGCAGTCGCTGCATTGCTGCTCGGTCAAGTCCGGCGTGCACTGTGTCATCGCGTAGATCGTGTCGAAACCCGACGATGTGTTCCCCGTTGCGTACTTCCTCAGCGAGCCGCCGCCTGCCGCCTCGCTCCGCAGGCTGTCCAGCAGTGTCCGTAGAGCCGCGTTGTACGTGTCTGGGCTCGTGACGTTGTTCACGTTGAGCAGCTGGTAGTCAGGGTCGGTTGTTACTGTGCCGAAGATTGAGGCGTTAGAGTACCGGACGGTGCAGTTCTCGTTGTAGAGGACTGCCCCCTTCTGGAGGGTGCAGAGGCCGCGGATGTCGGAGGCTGAGCCATTGAGGCAGGTGCGGCAGCTCTCGGCAGTGAGGTCGCCGCGGCAGGAGCCGATGATGTAGAGGGTTTGGGAGGCGCCGGAGACGGCGGCGGAGGCATTGAAGAAGCCGTAGGTGAGGGACAAGGAGTTGGTGGTGGAGATGGAGGAGAGGAGGGTGGTGAGGGTGGTTTGGTAGGTGCTGTTGGCGGTGAAGTTGCCGGTGGTGGCACAGATCTCGTGTGGGAAGAGATTTTGGGCGTTAATGGCGGAAGCAAACATGAGAAGAAGCAAGAGAGGGAGATTTGGAGGATCCATCTTTCTTAGTTTCTTTGGGGTTTTTCTTTGATTAATGTGGATAGGCTAATAATGCATGACATATAGCTTGTGTGGCTCCTACACAAGTTGCTTCGTCGAAATCTCTTTCGTCCGCGTCTTCCATTTTCGGGTGGGGATTGGTTGTGGCGGCTTGAATTTTTGTGCCGATGAGACCATTGAAATTTCCTTTTTCAGATGAATATAACTTTTTGAATCATCCTTTTTCTCAACCAGCCATTTTTATATTATTCACAGTCAACATCTCCTATTATCTTTCGTAATCTTTCGGCTAGCACTGAACGTGGGCATGATGAAGTTATGAGCCATGGTAAAAAGAATTGGGAAACACGAAACTCTCCTTAGCGATCGCTTCAGAATGTCGAAGTTGTCATGGCCAACTTTTGAATGTAGTTGGAATAGTTACTTGTCAAATCTGTCTCGACCTCCTTGGTAGATGAAGACAAAGAGCTAGCGAAAGTGAGTGGGGTATCCGTCTTTTTACGAAGTAAGGACATACAGATTTTTAGGCATTGCTCGACAATGGCGCCATCTCCACTCGTGGGATGGAGTTCATCGTATCGAATCGATTGGCACATGCATCATACGTATTTTAGAATCAATTCCTCACCGTCTCTTATATCTACTCCACTTGGACATCCTCACGTTTAAACTTGAACCTCGAAGACAGCAAACACAAACAAACAGGTGGAGTGTTCTTGTACCCTTTGGTTAACGTCAACTTTCAATATCAACATCAAATTTATGTTTAGGGCTTATACTGTCCTGACCGCTAAAAATAAGTTTGTTATATACTTGATTCATCACGGTAGCATTTTAAATACTATATAGCTTAGAACGCACAAGATATAGAGCCTAACTTTTGAACACTTGCCAATAAAATTATGTGAAGTATTCAATTACGCGGAACGATCTGTTCCATCAAAGACCGACTTTTCCGCTCCTCTCTAATTGTTAACAATATCCTTTATCAGCATGAATTATCATGCCCACTTACGTATCGTTGATCTTGACTTATGTGATAACACGTTTATCTCGGTCTTAAGGTCAGGCCACTATGATTCCATGTTGACTTTAAGCAATTGCCACGAAGGTTCCACACTACATTGTATAATATTTTATAACCGATGATTGAGATTGGAGTAGATGAGGACAATAATGGGAAGAAACGATAGAACCTTCGAAGTTGATCTTTTCCAACGCGCATCCTTAAGGGCCGGGTCAAAGTGCCTTTGCGTGACAAGCTGGAGCCGTACGCTGTGTTTTCTTTTCAGAATTTTATTATTGAAGTAACGCGCATCCTTAAGGCCCCGGCATGGCCTGGGCGAGCCCTGACCAGGCGAGGGCTCTCCTCGCCAAATCTGGCTTGGACGAGATTGACCCTCGCTGAGGCTCGCCCTCGCTTGGCCGGGTGACGGCGACCCTCGCCCAAGCGAGGGCAGCTTGCCTGCCCATGGCCCGTGGCCAGCTATTGCCTGCGGCCAGTCATCGGGAAAGGGAGGAAGAAAGGAAAAAAAAAAAGAAAGAAAAAAAATAAAAAAACAGAAAAAAATAAAAAATAAAAAATATTATTAAAATTTTATCTACGTCAGCGCCGGCGATATCACGTAAGCCTGCCGGCATCCACGTCAACAATATCCAGCCAAAATTAGCCAAAAGGACTGAATTGACACTAGTTTAAAATGTGTATGACTAAATTGGCACCAAAAAAAGGTTTAGGATTGAATTAATACAAATACAATAGGTTTAGGACTTTTCTGACACTTCTTTCCATTTTTTGTTGTCTTTCTTGAGTATTAATTCATCAATCAAAACACAAAATTAAGACTAATACTCTGTATGTTTCGTGGAAAATTTTCGATTGGAATTTTTTTCTTGTTTTCAAGTATTTGAATCGCTTAGGAAAATGAATCAATAGAAAATCTTTAAATAATCAATGGAAAGCCTATGCTTAAATTTGAAAAAAAAAAGATTTTCTATTTTAAAAATGAAATCATTTTTCAAAATATGACTAGATTACAGTGCTTGGATTAAAGACCCCGGTGTTTGGATATGGGAACCTTAACGCTTGTGCCTGATTCTTGGCGGCCAGCCCCGGGTCAATGGAGGCCAAGCCCGGGTCTCTCGAGGTTGAGCCCTGGACACCGGTGCGTGTGCCTGAGTTCCCCCGTCCATTCTTAAAACTATATTCTCTCCTATGCCTTTTGCTCCTAGTTTCTTGCACAACCACCATGAGCTCGAGTCCATTCTAATCCACTTCCATAGCAAAACTGAAACTGGCACCTGCAATTGCAAGCCACCAAGTAACAATCATTCATTTACCATAAAAATTTGACGACCCACATTCTGGTAACTGGCCACTGTATATTGATTTCCATTTTTAAAACTATATACCCCATAAATAGTAGAAAAGGATGAACAATTGAACGTCAGCTGGAATTGGCGACTGGCTAGAGGATGGAGATAAAGGGAAGAAAAAAAAAGAGAAAGAAAAAAAAGGGAAAAAGAAAAGAAAAAAAGAAAAAAAAGAAAAATATTACTAAAAATTATTTATGTCAGCGCTTGTCATGCCACTTAAGATGATCAGCGTCCACGTTAGCGCCAGCCAGTCGAAATTGACCGGATGGATTGAATTGACATAGATACAAAAGATTTAGGACTCAATTAGTTAAAAAAAGGTTTAAGACTGAATTTGCATAATTGCAATAAGTTTAAAACTGTTTCGGTAATTTTTCCATTTTTGTAAATTTTTTTTTTACTACGATAGCTTTACTTTGGTCAAGATTTGCGGCAATGAAAACAAAGTTACAGAATGTTAAAATATGTCTTGAGTTTGAACCTATTAGACGAAATTCAATTTGAGATTAATTATTATTTGTGAAGGTCTGAATATTTCGAATTGAATATTTTACGGACGTCCGAAATTGTTCAAAACATAATTGTTTCCTTTTACAAGTTGGACTCAGTGAAAATGGAAGATAGAGAAGGAAAGTCAGGAGGTGGACTTTGTTGATCGAATTCATTTAGGATTCTGTACATGCAATTTCCTTTCTCGTGCCAATGTCGTCCAAGAACTCCAGAAGTCCACAAGTCTATATATGAAAAAAAAAAAACATTTATTGCTTATGGGTCAGTGGGACACGTTTTATGCCTTTGGGATTGGTGCTTCCGTGAGCGATTTTGCCCGTAATCCAAGGCATAATTTGTTCATCAAATTACACCCTCTGGAATTGACAAAGTGCTTAGGCCTTGAAAATCTTGTCTTAAAATTTTGTATATTTTTTTGTAAGATTGAGAGATTATTTCTTGAAGAATTATTAGGCTAAACACTGTATGAGTTATTGAGTATAATTTTTTTGGTCGGAAGTTATTGGGTATAATTGGAGATTGGGAAACTAAGTGACTTGAGTGTGGTTGTAATCTCCATTGTATTACTTGATTTATAGCTGCTTTTTCCATAGACGTAGGTCACTAAATCGAATTATGTAAATTGGGTGTTTGATTTATTTTCTTGTTTTGTCTATTTTATTGTTCGATCGCTTCTTCCGCAACAAAAAAGTGATCCAAGATAAATATGCTAGTAAAAGAAAAACAAAAATTATTGTAATTGAAAATGGTTTATAATAAGCACTTTTATTGGGCGTCAACCTATAAGAAAGGAAAATCAATTTTGAATTATGTCTCAAGGAAAATCTCCCGGTTAAATCCTATTGGTGTAATTCGACCAAAAAAAATAAAAATCCTATTGGTGTAATAATCTCAAATTGAATTAGATCTAGCCTAGACTTGAAAACACTCTTTGAATCAAATTATTTCAAATCCAATTAAATCGAATCGGTCCTAGTCCATCTTTTACTGTTAATGTAAATCTCACAACACCATAATGGTGTGGAAGAACTGTCGGTTTTTTTGTTTGTTTATTTATTACTTAAATTTATTTGGGAAAATTCCTAAAAGTGTATCTCAATTTCGACCCAATAACCACTTACATACATATACTTTAATAAATATCAAATACATACCTAAATTTTACTTTTGGAGGCCACTTTGCACGTTCACATCAATTATTTTTTTTTTGGTAAGGACATTCACATCAATTATTCCAATGTCCCTATAAACGAAAACGCCGTTCTTCTCCGATAAGGCCCATCCTCAAATCCTAGATTCTCACATGCTCCCAAAACACTCAAAACCAACTACAAATCATATCACCAAAACCTGAAGCAAGATACTAAAATGAATATGTAAGGAGGGGGAATTGAGTCTTTTCAATATAATGTTTTTATATAAAAGTCTGTGAATGGTATTTGCAAAGATATATGCATGTAAGTGGTTATTAGGTTAAAAATGAGGTATGTTTAAACGAATTTGCATTTTTAAATATTTATCCGTTTGTACACCCATTTAGACTTCGTTTCTTTTTTTACTTCCTACACACAAGGGTGTGCCCTCCTGCTATGGCCAGTAAAGACAAAAAGAAGAAAAGAAATAAAAAACATAACCGTTTGATCATACAATTAAACTATGGGTCGTCAAATGCATGTGTTTTGACACAGCACAACATAAGCACGGCACATCTACAACTGTACCAAACAGACTCTAAATCTTAAGAAAAAATTAAAATTACATCATGCTTTTGAAATTAACATCCAAGCCTGATTCAACCTAAGCGAATGACACCATGGACTAGGCGTGTAAGGAAAAAAAAAAAACCCGAACGACCTGAAAATTTGATTGGACAAAGTGACGGTTCGGTTCGGGTTTATGACCCATCGGTTCGGGTTTATGACCCAAATCAAACTGAAACACATTAAACCTTACCCAAATCATGAACTCTCCGTAATCCCAATGTCTCCGCCCAGTTTCCACAACGGCCCGTCTTTGTCTCCTTCCTCCACCCTAGTCCTCATTCCGGCAGAGCCGACAGAGCTCACCACAGTGCAATTCAATTGAGACTGCATAGAGAAATTAAGTTGGATTACACGACAGCACCGCACCATAGAGACACCACGAAAGAAAAAATCCCATAAGCCATGGTCATAACTTTACTCCTTTTATTTGTCGCGAACTCAAGTTCACAAATATCCTAGAAATGGCACTCCTCTATTCATAATGAAAAGAATAGAGGAGAGAGAGCGCAATTAGTTTCTGAACATGGTTGAAAAGAAAGAGACAAATGACAAGAGTGCCGATTCAAGAGCAGAACAACTCACTTACCCAAAAGAATCCTAATTCTCTCCAGCAAGAAAAATCTCAACTCAGTGGCAACACTTTCACCTACTAATGCTAAGTCAGTCTCAGACAAAAGGGCTTTGTCCACCAGAAGACACGCCCAAACACGCTAGAAAGAGGTGCTATACTTCCTTCAGAAAGTGTTGGAATATAATGTCATGACATCACCCATTGCCATGGGATCTCTCCTTTTGATTGTTTGAAGTCTATTCTTCCTGAGGTAAAACTTCACTGGTTGCACTTTACACGGAATTGTTGATGATAAGGGATTTAAAAAAGAGGATAAACCCAAAAACTCGAAACGAGCCAAACCGAACTGACCCGAACTTTTCTTTTGTTCGGGGTCTATGCGAGTTGAGATCAGGTCATGAAGAACATATATTCTTCATGTTCAGGTCGGGTACTAGTGGAGACCAACGCGATCCGAACTGTTGACACTCCTCTTACCTATCAATTTTGCTAAGCAAAAGATATACTCATGTCTGCCAGAAATGGATCCATGCAATGAAATACTTTTCACCGAAAGTTGATCTTTGGACTTTTTTTGAATCGGGTTTTGTGACAATTCGGACATGAAGTAGAAAGTGTAACCAAGAACTTGAACTAATTACTCTAAAAGAAAGTAAATACAGGAACTGGAAAGATAAATTGATAAACTGAAAGATATATAATTTGTGTGGTTGAGTGTGTCCTCCTCTAGAATGATTCAACACAGCTTATATAGCATATTACAAAATGTAACAATATCCAAGTGGTTAATATTCAAATTAAAAGGTTACAACCGCATCTCCATGATTTTAGACCTTATGATCACAATCCATGATTGCATGTCAAACTTATCTATAAACAGTCACAAATCTTCGGTTGTCACTAGACTCAATTGCATCTCCTTAAGTTTAGACTCCATGATCGCTCTCCATGATTGCATGTTGACTTTCTCTACAAGCCATTATGACTTCTCAATTGTCATTTGATCTAATTGTTAATCGACATCTTTATTTTCTTCGGTTTCTGCCTTCAAGATTCCAAGTGTCAATCATCGACTAGTCGTCATCATATGTCGAAAATTGTATTATGGTCATCGATTATCTTGGTCATCAACAAGCATTTTTGCTATCAACGACTTGTCGATGGTATAATCACTTAATATCGATTTTTGTATTGACGACATGTCGATTTAGAAGGCTCGATCATTTTTAGGTGTCAACAACTCATGTTCATTTTTATTCTGTGTAGTTGTCTTGTTCAAAGTGGTGATAGATTCCCTCTCAAGCAATTGCTCTAGCCTTTGGAGAACCTTAAACTTTGTGTATCGAGAAACTCGAGATTTTAGGTTCGAGTCTTACCCAATTTAATTGCTTTGAGCTATATCTTAAAATAGTAATTCCTCTCCGATCTCTAGCATGGACATAAATGAAGATGGCATGCCTCTGACTAAATTGGGAAATGCACTTAGTTTGATGCATAAAATCTGGCTCAATATATCACTTAAGCACTACACAAAAACAATAATTGCTAGGAAGAATTAAACCACGAGAATGTAATTTTGATGATCTGAAAACCATGAGAAACACAAAAATTAATTATTAGGGCACGCTCTTTCCCATTTGTCAAGGCTACCGCGGATATGGCTCGGTCACAGAGGCCTCGTTTTTCGAGAATTGGTTTGATTTGCTTCTTGATCTATCGATGTCGGACACCCTTGAACTGTAATCCTGTGCTGATGACATATCGAATTCGCTGCCGCTGTGCATGAAGAATGCGGGTTGTAACGGCACTTGAAGCGTGACCGTGTGGCTGTTAAGCATGAGAAGGACCGAGGCCATTGTTGGCCGGTTAGCCACGTTTGCTTGGACGCATAGTAGACCAATATGGACGCACCTTGCAATTTCAGCACTCGAACCAAAAGTTATACAGGGATCGATGATGTTTGACATTGTTCCTTCCCTCCAGTTCTTCCAAACCTGCAAACATTTGACAAACATTGAGCATATTGACTCTGAAACATTATGCAAAATGAGAAGGTATGTTCTTATACTCACATAGCTTATAAGGACCTCCGTGTTATCGCCCACCTGGAAAAGATTGTTCCTTTGACCACTCACAATCTCCAAAACCAGCACTCCAAAACTGAAGACATCGGACTTGACCGAGAATTTTCCAGCAATCGCATACTCCGGTGCCATATATCCGCTGTGCATTGCAAAAAGTCCATCATATTAGCTCGATAGTTTGCCCATTTGATTTTAGTCAGCATTAGCTATAGGTGGTTGTTGCACTTACTAAGTCCCAACAATTCGGTTTGTCTCTGCCTGAGTTTGGTCCAACTCGAATAGCCTCGCCATACCGAAATCTGATATCTTAGGATTCATGTCCGAGTCCAACAAAATGTTGCTGGCTTTAAGGTCCCGATGGATGATACGAAGTCGAGAGTCTTCATGTAGGTAAAGCAGCCCTCGAGCAACACCCATTATTATCTTGTGACGCCTATCCCAGTCGAGATTCCCACGCTTTAGGGGATCTACACATTTTGTTTAAAATCACATTCTATAATACGTTCCTTAATCATTTCAGGAGGATATGATTTCAGGAATGACAACCTGAGAAACATACCGAATATGAACTGATCAAGGCTTGAATTGGGCACAAACTCATAAATGAGAAGCCGCTCGACTCCATCCATACAGAAACCTAGGAGCCTGACCAAGTTCCTATGTTGTAGCCTAGCTAGTAACATGACCTCATTCTTGAATTCTATTTCTCCTTGGCCGGAATTCTGTGACAGCCGTTTCACCGCAATTTTTTGTTGGTTGGAGAGCTGACCCTGAAATTTCATCAAAGTAGGTCCTTGTCAGTATCGCTATGTAATTGAAGCATTGATGTCGTCATGACTATTTTGCTGCTTAAATTTTGAATACAAGAGACCAAAGGATGCTTTGTTAATTAGTACCATGTAAACTGCACCAAAACCGCCTTGTCCAAGCTTCTTGGAATTAGAAAAGTTGTCAGTTGCCGCTCTGATAGTGCCGAAATCAAATTGCAGTGACTCCTCCGTGCTTATTTCATCCACAACTTCACCTAGAAAGAGAAATACGCGGTCATTCAGAACTTGAATGTCTTTATCAGAGTTTATACAATGAAAGCTTCACAAACTTTTAGTATATAGAGTTGCACCTGCAGGCATTACTATCAACTTGCTATTTTGGCCTGCTTAATCAGTTTATGTTAACTACAGACAATGAGAAATGTGTAATTGGACATGCACGAGCGGTGCGCATGAATGTAATGATCGAAGTATCAATTCCATGATCTGGAATTTCAACCCAATCTGTTAAAAGAATGTTGGCCTAATTGTCACTATTGTGCTGGTGCAAAAGCATAGTAATAGGTCAACTTCGTTATTTTCATGATCTTTTTAACCTCATGAACAGTTGCTGTTCCAATGCAAAAAGATAAAGAGTCACCTTCAACTTTTTGTCTGGGCCGCTTCTTCTTCATTTGCACTATCAGGAGTATGACAACGCCGATAACAAGTACCGCAGAAGCACTTGTGGCAACCGCGATGATCACAGTCTTCGTTGAATTGCTCTTTCCACCTGCAAGAGCAAAGGCACATTATGTTTACGATCATTGCAGACCGATTACAAAGTAATACACTGGAGAAATCACTCAAGCGCCATTTCGAATGCAGAAACGAAACGCATTTTAAACATACATCGCACCATTCTTTGATAACTCGAGGGAAAGTTACTCGGATTTCTGGATTTTGTCGTCTTACCAATAGTCGTCTAATAGAGAGTATTAACACTTCAAAAATATCACATTATCCTCCAGAATTTAAAGTTTTTGGGTATAATCGGTTACCCTTTCAAGACTGGGTTGGGCCACCCTCTCGTCAGCAGTATTCTAATCAATCGTGGTTTGGTCATTTTTTTGTTCTTATCTTTATAGAACACTCGGAAGGTCAGAATTCATATGTCTATTTTCAGTATTTTGCCAAACCAAATCATAAGATATAAAAAATATGGAGGAATTTCTTATCTAACTCAATCTCGAGAAATGCTTTATAAAAGATCTTACCGAAACCCTCTGATTAAGTGACATGCCGATTTCTAATTGGTTGCTGATCATTTAATGCACGAGTCGAATATATTTCAGCACCCAATAAAAGTTCGCCACATTATTTAATTAAGAGACTTTCAGTAAAACTTCTCAGAATGTCTAACTCTAATTCTTGTTAACTTCATTTTCAGACGATCAAGCACAATTAAGGTAAGTTTGGCCTCTCTTTTCCATCGACGTCTGATGCTACAAAGTTCTAGTAATAATCTAAGATCTCATGCAAGTACGTGTCATCAGTGTTTCAATTATGGCCTCGAAATTTTCTTTCCCATTTCTTTTACTGTTAAAAAACTTTTTGCGTTTATATTAATTAACACACAGTGGTGATTGAATGATGAGAAGTAGCAAAGATCTGCTAATGATTCATTACCCTAGCCTATAATCACTTACTTTATTAATTCAAAAATCTCATGACAGCTTGTGAGCAATGAATCCATAAGTTGTGATTCAATGAACTGACTATGATAGTTGACTATTAGCCATGTAGATGCATCAAAGATTAGAGTTATGGACCCATTTCTTCCTTTGTCGAAAATATGGACCAACCCATACGTGTTTGGCAAAAAAGTGTTTATCCAATTAAAAAAATTACATGATCTATAGAAACTTTGAATTAAGCATATCTGAACGATTTACAGTGTAAATCTCAAGGGAAATCCCCATAATTAATGACTGATGGTTTTAATCTACCTGAATTATAGAAAAAAATAATACAAAGGCCATGTTCATAACTTGTAACAAAGAGCCTACGTACCTGGCGGTGGAGACGGCATCGGAAGTGGCTCGCCGACTGGGTCGAAGAATCGATCATTGGTCTCGTACCGGAACTGGCAACTTGGGGCCATGATCCTCACTCCAATCTTCCCAACACAACAAGCCGTGAGCTTTGCGATGATTGTCACCAGGCAGTCGCTGCATTGCTGCTCGGTCAAGTCTGGCGTGCACTGTGTCATCGCATAGATCGTGTCGAATCCTGCCGATGTGTTCCCCGTCGCATACTTCCTCAGCGAGCCGCCACCCGCTGCCTCGCCCCGCAGACCGTCCAACAGCGTTCCCAGAGCCGCATTGTACGTGTCTGGGCTCGTGACGTTGTTCACGTTGGACAGCCAGTATTCAGGGTCGGTTGTGACTGTGTGGAAGATTGAGGCGTTAGAGTACCGGACGGTGCAGTTCTCACTGTAGAGGACCGCACCCTTCTGGAGGGGGCAGTGACTGCGGATGTCGGAGGCTGAGCCATCGAGGCAGGCACGGCAGCTCTCGGCGGTGAGGTCGCCGTGGCAGGAGCCGATGACATAGATGGTTTGGGAGGCGCTGGAGACGGCGGCGGAGGCATTGAAGAAGCCGTACGTGAGGGACAAGGAGTTGGTGGTGGAGATGGAGGAGAGGAGGGTGGTAAGGGTGGTTTGGTAGGTGCTGTTGGCGGTGAAGTTTCCGGTGGTGGCACAGATTTCGTGTGGGAAGAGAGTTTGGGCGTTAATGGTGGAAGCAAACATGAGAAGAAGCAAGAGAGGGAGATTTGGGGGAACCATCTTTTCTTAGTTTTTTTGGGTGTTTGGGGTGTTTCTTTGATTAATGTGGATAGGCTAATGTGGAAATCTTGAACATATAGCCTGTGTAGCTCCTACACTAGTTGCGTCGTCGAAATCTGTTTCGTCCACAATTTTTAATTTGGAGCGGGGGTTGTTGCGGCTTGAATTTTGATACTAATGAAACCATTGAAATTTTCCTTTTTCTTTGCCAGAAAACCAGTGATCAACCGAATGGAGGTCAGATGAATATTACTTTTTGAATCATTCTTTTTCTCAACCAGCCATTTCTATATTTTTTGCAGTCAAGCATTTCCTATTATCTTTCATAATCTTTCGGCCAGTGCTGAACGGGAGCATGATGATACAATGAACCAAGGGATAGGTAAGTTATGAGCCATGGTAGAAAAAATCATGGGAGTGACGACGTTGTCTTGGCCAACTCTTTGAATGTAATTGGAATAGTTAGTTGCCACATATATCTCGACCTTCTTGGAAGATGAAGACAGTGCCCGCAAAAGCCAATGGGGTATCCTTCTTTTTACGATGGAATGACATACAGTTTTTTAGGCATTGCTTGACAATGGCGCCATCTCCACTTGTGGGATGGAATTTGTCGTATAGAATCGATTGGTATATGCATCATACATACTTTAGAACCAATTCCTCACCATTGCTAGTATCTACTCCACTTGGACATCCTCACGTGGCCCCAAATTTTGGTAATATGGAACAAACAGAGTTTCAATTCAACTTGAACATCGAATACAACAGACAAACACCATTTGAGTAATTTCGACTTCTTGGCCAATACTGCTTCATATGAGACATGGGCTATACTTCATTATCTCCTGTTTGTTCTTTTTGTAGGACATAATTAACACGAGCTTAGCATTTTTCTTGCTAAAACATTTCTCGTCATTTAGTTAAGTATTTTTGCAGGAAGATTAGTACCTCTTAGCATTATTCTTTCTCAACGAATCGCTAATGGGTCTAGAGAACCTTCCCACTTATCACCTAACAACAATTGAAAAACGTTTTTACAGGTGTTATCATTAGCTTTTTCTTTTTGATATTTCCCCCTCTTGCTCGACAATCGTCATTATGTTTATTTTTTTGGTCAAAATAATTGTCATGATGTTGAAAAACTTGCTTTTGAACGAATCAAAACGGTGTTCCTGAGGCGAAGCATGGGTTTTGCTTAATGTCAACTTTCAATACCAACATCAAATTTTTGTTTAGGGCTTATACTATCCCGACCGCTTAAAATAAGTTTGTTATATACTTGATTCATCACGGGAGCATTTTAAATGCTATATAGCTTAGAACACACGATATAGAGCCTAGATTTTGAACAATTGCCCATAAAATTATGTGAAATATTTAATTACGCGCAACTATTTATTCCATCGAATACCGACTTTACTGTTGATAATATTTTTTACATGAATCATCGTGCCCACTTTTGTAAGACTGTTTTAAGACATAATAATCTTTTCATAATTGTTGATTTTGACTTACGTGATAACCCGTTTATCTTTGCCTTAAGACCAGGCCGCTATGATTTTATATTCAATTTAAAAAATTGCTACGAAGGTTTCAGACTATATTGTATATTAATTATATTATAACCAATGATTGAGATTGGAGTAGAGAAAGACACTAACGAAAGGAAACAATAGAATACTCGAAGTTGATCTTTTCCAACACGCGTGCTTATGGCCCAGGTCAAAACTGCCTTTGCATGACAAGCTCGAACTATGTGCTGTGTTTTCTTTTCAGAATTTCATTATAATATTTGTCATTACATGTGACTTTCATTTTTAGTAACTGATAGCACGTCTTAAGCTAAATCTTATCGATGTCTCTTTTAATCCTAAGCATAAGAGATTTTAATAATATATACTTATCGACAACATAAATTTGCTTATGCATAATTTTGTAATATTTAAATTTCAACGGGACAGTTTAAAACGTGGAAAATATTTCTGACTTACCCGGATTGACCAAGAACAAAGAAGCCTAGTGGGTGAGTGCTAATTGGAATGGGAGAATATAACCAACTTGCAAAGTCTCTTAAGCAATATCAAAAGTTAGTAACCCTATAGATTTAAAAGTAAATGATTTCTAGGTACAAGTGCATGGAGAGTTCCAGCGCAACAACTCAAATTCCGCTTATGTCTCACCCCAAATTCTACAGGAATAGGGGAGCGACACGGCCGTCTTTCCTCTCGAAGGATGCAGCCTCAAATACAACCAAATAACCAACTCCCAAAGATTTCCATCGATATCCCTCTTGCTCTACTGGCCGCTAACTGAGAGACCTCAAAAGATTTGGGAAAAAGAGGAGTGAGCAACCATAGCCCGATGAGTAATGCATCTTTTCTTAGCAGATCGAATATTTACTATGCATCTTTACAAAAGCAATATTGAAACTTGCTTGTCTCAAATCCAATATATAAAAACATACAAGACAAGAATGAGTTATATTGTTTTAACTTAATCATATACATATCATAAAACATTTGTTAAATCAATAATATCATAAAAAATATCAATAGTCCATTGATCGATCTCAATAACTCACGCATCAATGATCTATTCCATTGATTAATCTCATTAAATCAGACATTGCGATTCGCGATTGATTTGGCTTGTCGAGATGTCCGGATCGTAACGCGCGAAAATTTTCTCTCTTTTTCTCCTTTTCCTCTCTTCTTCGCGAGCGAGCTTCTTCCCTTCTCTTTTCTTGTTCTTTCCGCCGCTGCACCTTGCCACTTCAATGCTTGCGTGGAAGCTGTTGAAGGAAATGGGACGATGAGTTAATGGGCTGGGCTTTGAGAACACGGGCTGGGCTGACCCATATATTACAACTTACCTTCCGATGCGCATTCCTATTCCAACACTCTGATCGCCTATTCTCCTCAGCTCGCACGAACCCGCACAAAGTGGATTAGCCTCGACATCACTGAGTAAACACAAGATATTAGGCAGAAGAATACTAGAAGTACAAAAAATTATGTATAATACTCGCTTTAGTGTCAAAAATTTTCGTCGGGTTACTTAAGTGCCACTTTTTGAAAAAAATGATCATTTAAGCGCCTTTGACGAGAAATTCCGATTAAAATGATTACGTGACTTTTATAATTAAAATAGGGATAAGTGCACTACAAGTCCTAAAACTTGTCACAAAAGTGCGTTTGAGTCCTAAAACTTGCAAAAAGTTCATTTGAGTCCTAAAACTTGTCAAAATGGTTCGTTTGAGTCCTAAAGTTAACACTGTTAGATTTACTAACGGAAAATGCTGATGTGGCGCTGACATGTCATTTTTAATTATTTTTCTTGAGACACGCGGCGCCACGTCAGCAAAAATAAAAATAAAAATAGAAAAAACTGAAAAAAAAACCAAAAAAACCCAAAAAAGGAAAAAAAAAAAAACCGGCGGTGGCCGCCGCCACAGCCACCGGGAAGACCGGCGGAGGTCGCCTGGGCCTTCCCAAAGCCCGGCGACCCTCGCCGGCCCCGGGTGAGTCCCCGGCGAGGGCCGGCGACCCTCGCTCAGATCTGGGGCGAGGGTCGCGCCCTCCCCCTGATCGAGGGTCGCCGGCCCTCGCCGGGGACTCGCCCGGGGCCGGCGGAGGTCGCCGGGCTTCGGGAAGGCCCAGGCGACCCTCGCCGGTCCTTCCCGCCGCCGGGCTTCGGCCACCGGCGGTGGCCGCCGGGCATGGCCACCGCCGGTTCTTTTTTTTTTTTTTTTTTTTTTTTTTTTTTTTTTTTTTTTTTTTTTTTTTTTTTCAGTTTTTTCTATTTTTATTTTTATTTTTGCTGACGTGGCGCCACGTGTCTCAAGAAAATAATTAAAAATGACACGTCAGGGCCACGTCAGCATTTTCCGTTAGTAAATCTAACGGTGTTAACTTTAGGACTCAAATGAACCATTTTGACAAGTTTTAGGACTCAAATGAACTTTTTGCAAGTTTTAGGACTCAAACGCACTTTTGTGACAAGTTTTAGGACTTGTAGTGCACTTATCCCATAAAATTTTAACATGAGTTGGCATGTTTTATTAAAAATTCGGTCCATGCGAACGTACAAAACCACGTCGCAAGAGTTAACGTGGCTGGCCTTCCAAAAACGACACCGCACAACTCCCATTCCCAAAAATGACATCGTATGCTTGTCTTCTTTTTTTGTTGTTGAATCGGTTGACTCCCTCTCTCTCTCTCTCTCTCTCTTTGAAGAAACTTAGGACACCGCCGCCAAAGGAGGCGGAGGACACTGAGAGGCCGATGGAGGAGGAGGTGCGGCCGGCAGTGGCTTAGGCGAAGGAGCTAGAGGACGCCGTTGTGCACGTCGCTCACACGTCGAGCGAGGAGCAGTTGTTACGGCAGCGCACGCTCGCACTCGGCTCATCCATTCGCCACTTTAAGGCCTCCATCGGTGCTCAGGCGAGCAGCAGGCTGCTAGATTCGAAGCTTGTCGACAGGCTTGAGGAGGAGCTGCAGAGGGCCAGGTGCATCATGGCCGACGAAGACGCATCGTCATTTCTTTCGTCGAAAGCTCAAGGTGTGTTTGACTCGGCTCGTTCTCTTTCCTTATCATCTGCCACCAGTTTCGCTGTCCTTATCGTTTACGTGTTTGTCGTGGTGGATGATGGTGACCGCGACGCGCGGGCGGCTCCCTGGAGGGGAAGAGTGTGATTTTGGGGGAAAAAATTGAATTAGGATTTCGAGTTTGGGGCAAAACTTGAAAATGACGTCGTTTAGGAGATAATATGTTGACGAAGCACGCCAGTGAGCCACGCAGGTAGGAATTATTAATAAAATATGGACACGTTAAATTTCCAGAACTTTTGGTACTAAAGTGAGCTCCGTACATAATTTTTGACATTTTTAGTGTTCTTCTGCCCAAGATATTATTAGGTTCATATTTTTTCCTATAACGATTTGGATTACATGGCTGGCAAGTCTTGCTCGCAATCCGACATAACCACCTGTGATAAGCCGTCTCAGACTAGAACTAGTTCTAACATAATCTAGAAAAGAAATTAACAAGCAACCTATTGAAATGACGAGAATTAAACACCAAAGTATTTAAAATCTCGAAATGAAAGAGTATACATGACTTTGTTGTTAAGCTCCGGGACAGAAACCCCCATAAACTAGATAAAATCATGAATTTTCCTAAACCATGCGTATCATCTAAATGAAACTAAACTAGTCCTAACTCTAAAATCTAACAACCTAATCAAGATCTTTTTTTTTTCTAAACAGTTTTCTATTTTATTATTTTTTTGACGTTTTTCCCAAATTATTTTATATTTAAAGCATTAAATCAAACGTGCCCAAGAGGCTTGCCCATACCAACACATATCCACGTGCAAAGAAACCATTTCAGATACCAATTAACTGCAGGTCTGAACAAATGCACATCTACACGTAACCTCTTGTAAGACGACTAAACCTGTTTAAGCTCAAAGTTCATGTCAGTAGTGCAATTGCACCACGACTTGGATCAAATTTAATCGTTGACTAAGCCATCTAGAGCCAAAACCGCAGCAATTCCTCCCTTAAAAGCTCGAATTCCAGCACTTGAATGGGCTAATCAACGTGAAGTGCATTGAATTAACAGCTACACACCGCGCATAAGTTAACTAGCTAACCCATGGTACCAAACTGTCGTAGAAATCCAGCATATAAATGTCCAATATAGCTCTACGATAATGGGGCCAGGAAGGCGATCAGTCTGCACTGGCCAAAAGTGTACCTTGGGGCCGTGAAGAAGATTCAGCGAGAAAACACAAGACCGACGACGGCACGAGTGATAGCAATGTCGATTTGGCTGGACGAGACGTGACGAGCTTGTAAGATATCGACCATGGCGATGTCGAGGAAATGTGAACCGAAACATATTATATACTTCCGTGGCATCGTGACCAACGACGAACAAAACAACAGTGATCTGGTACTGGAACAAAACAAATGGCGGCGGTGCTCACGTACTGCACGGACCAGTAGAAGTATTGGCAAATCTCCCGGAGAATGGTGGTACCGTTCCTAAGGAGAATCACTTCTCCGAGCTGTTGTTTCGGTGAAGCCCCCTGGGGTGGTCAGCACGTTGTGGATGGTCTGAGAGACCGTGGCGGCTCTCTTGTGGATCACGAACTCGAAGCTCCCTCGGCGCTCATCAGCTTCGCGGTGTCTTCCTTGTTCATAATTCGAAAGCTTCTGAGTCTTTTTTTCAGAACCGTCGCAGGTCGACCCCTCTCTTTTTTCTCTGAGTCTCAGCACCCCCTACATGATTCCTTTCCTGTCGGTGGTTTTCATTGCCATGTAGCAAAAGATCAGCAACGTCAATCTGGATGCGGAACATTACCATAGACCGAATAGAAAGCAAAATCACACGAAAGAAGAGATTCTTGACTTAGCTTAGTGATTGTCGTCGAAGTCTGCAGGGTGAGATGAGTACAAGACGACGATGTGATGGTGCTCCTGGGTTGTTCAGGACAGCGATCTAAACTCGCCGATGTCTACTCGTTCTCACTTGACGGAGTAACCCGCGAGCAGGGGAGGGCAGAGGAGGAAAGCAGATACCAGTAGAGGAGGAGCCACCCCCCGTTCAGTGGACTCCTTCCTCTCTTTAGATTACTCATGACCAAGGTGTCCCTCCCCCCCCACTTCAAAATCTCTCTTTTTACCTTTACGTGCTCTTGCCTGTGTGACTTGCCAGCCCCAAGGGCTCTCTCTTTTATTCATGCTTAGCCCCTTGTCTGCTGCATGCTTCACTTAATTCTCATGCTTATTCTCCTTTTGTCCTTTTTCGTTAGGAGATTAGACAACTCATTTTGCGTTCCCCTTCATCTTTGCCGAATGTGGCTTTAATCTTCCACGACTCCCAATTCTTGAACAGCTATCACAATGCCTGCCGCCACCACCTCTATGTATTGCAATTTCAGCCTGCAACCCGGTTCTGTCCACGCAAAGAAATGCCTCTTTTTAGCTTAGTTTGTAAGCTGCAAAGTCAGCTGTTTTGCAGCTGAGGCTAACGGTTTCGGGCTCTCTATCCATCTCTATGTCTAGTTCAATTTTAGTCCAGCGGGAGCCAAGAGGGGACTGGCCGTAGGAGACTTTATTATGAAAGGGAGAGTGAGAGAGAGAGGGAACCACGAATCAAGCTATGAGCTTGATTAATGCGAGAGCTCAATCGTCTTCATCGATTTAAATTTTCCCCGTCGGGGTTCATATCCTAAAATCATGATGTCCCTAGTTACTAAGTGCAGTGGAAAAAATGGATGCATGATGAGGTAATGCAGATGTTCCCAATTAAAGGTCGACTCCTCGGTTTGACTAAAAAATCCACCAAAAAAGCGAATTTTTTACTTATTCATGAAGTGGTACGCACACACTAATGAAATGAAATGCAATGAATGCGGAATTTGACATATGGACTATTTTGCTCGGGGATCAAGCTCTGTCGCGATAAGAATCTTAAGCTCCGACGTGATTTTTTTTTTTTATAGATGTGCGCTTACCGGACGGTGAAATTCAAGTGTCAATGCTATAAAAGCTCAAATTTCATATTTCTAATGTCAAACAAGAAACAATTATTTAAAATCCACATAGCAAAGGGATATTGTACTTTTTGATTCATCATGACAATAAATGCTCCTATGACAAGCTAATTGAAGAAAAGTAGGATGTAGTACCTTTGAAAGATCAAGACGACAATTCGCGCATAGGATAAGGAAAGAAGCAGTCCTATTACACAGGACGGAAAGTCAATGAATACGGTTCGTGAAATTTACAAGTACAATAGAAAGAGTAAACACTTGACTAGACCTGACTTAATTAACTGGGGATTTTATAGGTTTTCGAGAATCTACATGGAATCTTCAAAGATGTGACAATTATTGGATCAAGCGAGATTAAACCTTACTCCTAGACCGTAGGTTATATAACTTTTACCTATGTTGCGATACAGAAATTATGAGGAGAGACGTATGATTACAATCGGGTGGGATTGGAGAATATTGATTGTGACGTGGGTCGGTGTGAACAAAATTGTACTATAAAAGGTCCCCCTACTTTGATCAAACCAAGCAAATGCAGCATGCCTAAGCTTAAGATGTAGACATATTCGTTTGCAATGTGCGTTGTCATGAAATGTCATACTTTTAGCCTAGTTATTGAGATAAGACATGAGCTTTGATTTGTCTATCTCGTCAAGAACTTGCTCCTTTTGATTTCGTTCACTTTTACGGCTCACCTGCATTCTCATATATGAATAGTGACGGATCTAGAATCTTAGGGTCGAATGACCAAGCTTGTGCTTAATGATTATTTATACAAAGGAAAATTTCAAATAAGAGTTTGAAGTGCCCTCATTTTTTCAAATAAGTACCTGAAGTGGACATTGTCTCAAATAAGGGCATGGAGTGGCTTATTAGTCTCAAATAAGGGCATGAAGCAGCCAAATCGTCTCAAATAAGGATTTTTGGCCGGCCGGTGACTATTCCGACGTCGGAGAAGAGGTATTTTAGTCAAAAAAATTTTAAATATATATTTTTAATTTTTTGATTGTTTTACTTTAATTTTCTTTTCCTTTTCTTTTTCTTTTTTTTTTCTTTTTCTCTCTTCCCTCTTATGGCCATCATCGGCGACCTCCGCCAGCCTCAGGCGAGGGTTGCCCTCGCTGGCGTTGGGCGACGGCCGCCCTCGGCCTCGCCTGGGCTGTTGAGGGTGACCCTTGCTTGATTTGGCGAGGGAAACCCTTGCCCGACGCTGGGTTGCCCTCACCGGTGTCGGGCGAGGGCCGGCCCTGCCTAGGTTGTGAGGGTTGCCCTTGTCAGCGTCGGGCGAGGGTCGCCTCGCTTGGACTGGGCGGGTGATGGTGGCTTGCGTTGGGCGGTCCTCGCTTGAGTCTGGCAACCTCCGCCGTCGCCGTTAGAGGAAACAGGGAAAAGAAAAAGAAAAGGAAAATAAAAAGCAGAAAAAGGAAAAAAAAGGAAAAAAGGAAAAAAAATGCCCTTTGGCCAGCAAGATTAGGCCCTTTTTTGAGACTGATAAGCTACTTCAGGCCCTTATTTGAGACAAGGTCCACTTTAGGCCCTTATTTGAGAAAACGATGGCACTTCAGACTCTCGTTTGAGACAAGGTCCACTTTAGACTCTTATTTGAAAAAACAAAGGCACTTTAGGCCTTTATTTGGAATTTTCCCTTTATATAAGGCATGACTTTTTGTGGCGAAAAGTACTTAAAAGTCATAAACCTATTGCATTGATACCAATTCAGTCATAAACCTTTCAATTGGATTAATTTAGTCATGAACCTTTTCACATTAGTACCAATTCAGTCCATCTGATCAATTTAGGCTAGAAATTGTTGATGTGGACGCTGGTCGTCCTACATGACACGGCCGGCACTGATGTGAACAATTTTTTTAATAATTTTTAATAAATCTTCGATTCTTTTATTAATTTTTTCCCTTTTTATTCCTTTGCTTTCTTTTCTTTCCTTTCTTTTTCTTTGGCCCGTCATCGGTGATCGGCCATGGCCGACGACCAGCCATAGGCGAGTGTTGCCTTTGTAGGATCTGGTGAGGGTCCTCTCTAGAGGTCGTGAGGGTGGCCCTTGCTAGATTTGGCGAGGGCGAACCTCACCCAGGCAACGAGGGTCGAGCCCTTGCCAGATTCGACAGAGGCCACCCTCGCCAGATTTGGTAAGGTAACCCTGGCCCAGGCCGTGAGGGTTGTGCCTTTGCTAGATCCGGAGAGGGCCGCGACGCCCTCTGTTGTGGCCGGTCACCGACCCTTGAATAGCACCGGCCATAGGCCAAAGAAAAAGAAAAGGCAAGTTAAAAAAGGAAAGGAAAAAAAGGGAATTTTTTTTAAAATATTAATAAAAAATTTGAAAATTTATTAAAAAATTATCTATCTCAGTGCTGGCCACACCACGTAGGACGACCGGTGTCCACGTCAACAATTTTCGATCTGAATTGGTCGCATGGACTGAATTAGTACCAATGTGAAAAGATTTATCACTGAATTGGTCCAATCAAAAGATTAAGGACTGAATTGATACTAATGCAATATGTTTATGAATTTTTTGGTACTTTTCCTTTGTGAGTATCCTTCACTTCCAACATCCTATGAATCTGGATTTAATCCCAAGCCATTGAAGCCATATGACTCCTCAAAATTTTGATGATCCAAAAACCATGACAAAGACAAAAAGTAATGCGGAGGGCACGCTGATTACCCCCGTGGGTACGGCTGGGTCATAAAGGCCTCGTTTTTTGAGAATTGATTCGATTTGTTTCTTGATCTCTCGACCTCAGATAACCTTGAACCGTAATCTTGCATGGATGACATATCAAATTCGATGGTGTTATGCACAAAGAATGCGGGTCTCGATGGCACTTGGAGAGTGACCGAGTGGCTGTTAAGCATGAGGAGGACTGAGGCCATCGTTGGCCGGTTAACTGCGTTTTCTTGGACACATAGTAGACCAATGTGGATGCACCTCGCAATTTCAGTACTCGAACCAGAAGTTATAGAGGGATCGACGATGTTCGATATTGATCCTTCCCTCCAATGCTTCCAAATCTGTAAAAATTTGACAAAAATTAAGCAAATTGATCTCCGGAATATTATGCGAAATGGGAAGGTTTGTTCTTATACTCACATAGCTTGTAAGGACCTCCATGTCATTGCCCATGCAGTGATTGTTCCTTTGACCGCTCACAATCTCTAAAACCAGCACTCCGAAACTAAACACATCTGACTTGATCGAGAAGTGTCCGTGCATCACATACTCCGGCGCCATATATCCGCTGTGCATCACAATAAGTCCACCATATTAGTTCTATTGTTTGCTTTGTTCTATTGGTAATCATTAGCTCTAGGAGGTTGTGGCACTTACTAAGTCCCCACAATTCGGTTTGTCTCTGCCTGAGTTTGGTCCAACGTGAACAACCTCGCCATACCAAAATCCGATATCTTAGGATTCATGTCTAAGTCCAACAAAATGTTGCTGGCTTTGAGGTCTCGATGAATGATACGATGTCGAGAGTCTTCGTGTAGGTAAATCATCCCTCGAGCGACACCCATTATTATCTTGTGACGCCTATCCCAGTTGAGATTCGCACGCTTTAGGCGATCTACGTGTTTTGATGGAATCACATTCTATAAGATGTCAATTGATCACTTTGTGAGGATCTGATTTCACAAATGACAACCCTAGAAACATACCAAATATGAACTGATCAAGGCTTGAATTGGGCACAAACTCGTAAATGAGAAGCTGTTCGTCTCCTTCCAGACAGAAACCTAGGAGACTGACCAAGTTCCTATGTTGTAGCCTTGCTAGTAATATGACCTCGTTCTTGAATTCTACTTCCCCTTGGCTGGAATTCCGCGACAATCGTTTCACTGCAATTTCTCGTCCGTCGGAGAGCTGACCCTGAAATTTCACCAAAGTATGTCCTTGTGAGTATTGATTGGTACATTGAAGCATTTCCATGAGTATTATATTGATGTCGTCTTTGACTAGTTGGTTGCTGAAATTTTGAATACAAGAGAGTAAAGTACGTGCTTTGTTAATTATTACCTTGTAAACAGCACCAAAACCGCCTTGTCCAAGCTTCTTGGAATCAGAGAAGTTATCTGTTGCCGCTCTGATAATGCTGAAATCAAATTGCAGCGACTCCGCCGCGCTAAGTTTGTGCACAAACTCACCTAGAAAGACAAAAATGCAGTCACTCAAAAAGCGAGCATCATTATCTTTTCATGGTTTTCATAATGAAAGTTTCACAAACTTTTAGTCTATGTAAGTGCACCAGCAGGCATTACTAATAAAACCTAAACCCTTAACCCTTCATAAAGTTTTTGGCCTAATTGTCGAAAGCGATACAGCTCTTACTACTTTGCTGGTGCAAAATCATAGTCATTAGTCAACTTAATTATTTTCATGATCTTTTTTAACCTCATGAATAGTTGCTGTTCCAATAAAAAAGGATGAAGACTCGCCTTCAACACTTTGTCTGGGCTGCTTCATCTTCCTTTTCACTTTCAGGAGCATGACGACAACGCCGATGACAAGTAGTGTAGAAACACTTGTGATGGCCGCAATGATCACAGTCCTCGTTGAATTGCTCTTTCCAACTGCAAGAGAAAAGGCACATTATATTTATGATCATTGCTTACTGCTTACTAAGTAATACACTATAGACATTACTAAAGCGCCATTACGACCGTGAAAACGAAACTCATGTTGCAACGATATAACAAGAACAGATACGCACCACAAATTATAATGTGAAAGTGACATCGTACCGTTCGCTGTTAACTCAAGGGAAAGTTATTCAGAATTCTGGATTTTGTCATCCTACCAATTTTCGTCTAATAAGATTAGGAATATATCACATTATTGTAAGAGTTTTTCTAATGTGGGCTTATATTAATTGAGATTGTAATTAACCGTTTTACGGGATTGGTCTAGCAAGGTATGATTTAAAGATTCTTAATTAGTCTAATATGAGGCCTGGCTTGCGTGAGTCGAGTTGAGCACGATCCGTAATGAGAAGGCCAAGCCGAAAACTCTATAAATAGAGCTGGAAGTCTCTCTTCTAGCCCTAATCTCTCTCAAACTCTATCTAATGCTCTCATAAGGATTTAGAGAGAAAATTCTCTCTCTCGAGAGAGAGGGCTGAATGGCGATCTCATTGCGCTAGGGATCAGGAGGGTAATAGGGGAGAAGCGCTTAAGCTATAGATCGTCGCTATTCCACATTCAAGAGAATATGGATCCTAAATCAGGTGCACAAATCTCTTTAATCCATTACATTGTTTCTAGCTTCTAGTTGTGGTGATCCTAGGGTGTCGTTTGAACGATGGCCAATATGTGGTATCAGAGCCGCCATAGTCTAGAACTCGAACTTTTGGATTTGGCTTGTTATCAGAATTTTTATCTGATGAAAATTGTTTTTGATCACATATTCGGACTCTTCTCGTCGAGATGAGCGTTTTGGTGGGTGGCGCGCCTCCGAAAGAGGCCGCATGCGGCCCCACGCGTGGCTAGGTGCCGAGGTAGTGCCGGTGCGTTTGGCCACGCTCCGCCACGCGCAGTCACGTGTGGCCACGTGTCGTGAGCAGGTTGGCTCGTCCGGCCAAGCGCGGTGACACGTGTCATCGCTTTTATGCATGCGTGACACGTGTCGCGTGATGTCATTAGTGACGTCAGCACGCCGATCTGGGTTGACCGTTGACTCGGGCGACTTGACCTAGTTTGACCCGTTGACCAAACCGGTCATACGATCGGACCAGACGACAATCGGATCGGTTGACCGTTGACCGGACCAGTTGGACCAGTTGAACCGGTTTGTCAAGCTGGCCCCATGCACTGCGCGTACGCTTCACACACCGCTCGTTGAGGATGCTCGTGAGGGCACGTCCGAGCTCCGTTTGGGGTGTTCTTAGTATCGCTGTGCTCATTTTGAGATGCTCTACATTGTGGAGTATTCATTTTACATGTTTGATGCTATTAAGGGTATGAAAATACGTATATAACCCTATATACATGTATTTTAGGGTATATTTGTGTATTTTCATGTATTTCTCTATGGTCTTGGAAATACAATAGCAAGCTCACATGTATATCATCACATAAAGAATGTGTAGAGCTAATTCATTGATAACATGTATAAGGTCTCACATGTATCGATGGATGGAGTGATATAATTGTCATGACATGTAATTTTAGTGACAAATTGCCCGTCTTCAAGTCTAAAATTACATGTATATGGTAAATGTGAGATATAAAGTTCATATCCCTGGTATGAGAGATTTTCAAGGGTTCAGTTGGGTAGTGATCGCCAAAGTGGCACACTTAATTGGATTTGAGAAATATCGGTCTCATATTATGGTGAAATGTCTCCTGTTATAATGTGTGGTCATACTCCTAAAGGAAGTGATTGTGTATTGGATCATAGAGGGACACATGTACAACATATGCTTGAGGAATGACTAATCCTAGTGATTCATACACCCAAAGGTAGTGAATTCACGAAGATTAAAATATATTCTTATGGCCGCTATTATGTGAAGAGTATATAACTGCATGTCATGTATTCTGCCCAAAGGTGATTATATGATGATGTATGTAACTCTCAGTATAGTACTCACATGATGCTAATTGTATACATTGCTTGTATTTTCTCAGTCACCTTTTCTGTAAATGGCAACTCCATTTCTATTGAGGTTCTTACTGGTTCAAACTTTAAGAAATGGAAAGAGGATTTCTGTTTGGGATAGAGCTTGCAGATATTTACATTGCTTTTACCGAGGATAAGCCGGCAGACCTCACTGCTGATAGTACGGGTCTCGAGAAGGCACACCGTGCTGATTGGGAAAAGAGCAATCGGATTTGCTTGTTATTTATGAAGCGATCTATTCAGGAACACTTAATAAGTGGTTTGCCAGCGGACTGCACTGCTAAATAGATGTTGTAAGCTATGGAAGCTAGAAACCGTGTCTCGTCTAATGCTGAAATTGGGACACTTCTACAAGGACTCTTCAATATGAGATATGATGGTTCAGGTGGGGTTAGGGATTATGTTCTTAGGATGGTAGACCTGTAGACAAAACTTAAAACTCTTAATGTTTCCATTCTTGATACTTGCATTGTGCATCAAACCCTAAACACCCTTCCGCCTGATTTTGGGATTATCAAGACCAATTATAATTTTCAAGATGAAACCTGGTCAATTAATGACCTGATAGCCAGGGTGGTGGCAGAGGAAGAGAAGCTGAAAAAGGAGAAAGGGCACCTTGCCCTATATGCCTCGAGTTCCAGTAGCCAAAGGGGTAAGAGGTTCAAAAATTGTACTCATAAAGGAACTCATGAAACCACCAGTCATTCGGATGATTCGGGTCCTAAGAAAGCATCCTTAAAGAAGGATGGTGACCGCTGCTACTTCTATAGAAAGAATGGTCATATAAAGAAAAACTACAATAGATATAAAACTAGGTTATCTAAGCGTGAGCATTCAAGTAATGATTCTTTGGCACTTGTTTGTGAATCCAACCTATCAGAAGCCCCATCCATTTATGGAGGCTAGATAGTGGTGTAACCAATCATGTTGAGTTTGCCATACAAGAATTCACAAACAGAAGGAAGCCAAATCAGGATGAATCAAAGCTCATTGTACGAAACAACAACAAAGTCGACGTTGAGTTCATGGGAGATGTCATTTTGATTCTAGATTTTGGTTTCAATTTGATGTTAAGAAACACTTTTTATGTACCTTCCTTTAGACAGAACTTAGTTTTCGTGTCTTATTTGGACATGTGTGGCTACTCTTTTGAAATAAGAAACAATGTTATTACTATGTTTTTTAATTCAAATAAGGTTGGGTGCTGTAATATATCCAATGGGTTGTATAGATTGTGTTTTAACTCCCAATGATATATACGTCGCTTATATAGCTGAAAATGTTGTTTCCAAAAGACCTCTGCCTAAGGAACAGTCTTACACATTTCTAGGGAAAGAATGGAAAGGCTGATAAAGGCTGACATTTTACCTTCTCTTGAAGGTGACCTAGATACTTGCGTAGATTGTTGTATGGGTAAGATGACCAAGATAAAGAAGAAAACTGCAGTCCGTAGTTCTGACATGTTGGAGGTCATTCACACTGATATTAGTGGACCCAATACGACAATTTTGTGTAGAAAGTATTATTTCATCACATTTATTGACGACTATTTTCGATATGATTATCTGTACTTGATTAAGAAAAAGTCTGAATCTCTTGACAAGTTCAAGATTTTTTGGACTAAAGTTGAGAAACAATTGGGAAAAGTTATAAAGGTTTTCAGATTTAACCATGGTGGTGAGTATTATGGCAAATATGGCGATGCTGGACAGTTTAAAGGGCCATTTCCCAAATACTTGGAGGATTCGAGGATAAAAGCTCAGTTTACTATGCCTAGGAGTTTTGAACAGAATGGTGTAGCCGAAAGGCGCAATCGCACCCTTATGAAAATGATGAGGAGTATGATTAGTAAGACTAATTTACCTAGTTTTCTGTGGGGTGAAGCTTTGAAAACCGCACTTTATATTCTAAACCTTGTTTCTACCAAAGCCGCTCCATTGACTCCTTTTGAGTTATGGACTGGATATAAACCTAACTTGAATTATCTTAAGGTTTGGGGTTATTCTGCAGAAGCGAGGTTATATAATCCAATATTAAGTAAGTTGGACTCCAGAATCACTCGGTGTTACTTCATATCTTACCCAAATCATTTGAATTGATATCGATTTTATAATCCTCATGGAGGTGCAAGAATTGTAGAATCACTGATAGTGAAGTTTCTGGAATTTGATGTAGTTGAAAAGGGTAGCTGCTCATAGACAATTGAGGATAACAGTATGGTGGGAAATACTGTGTTGATTTCTCTACCTATACAGACGATTGTGGAACCTCCTACACTATAAATTGAGCCTGTTGAGGTTTAGGATTCTGTTGTTGAGGTAGCTCCTGATAAAGTCCCTCAAACCCCCTAGGTGCAGGATGGGGCTGTAGTAGATGCACTCAGGAGATCCATCAAGTAGAGACGATCAGTTATATCACCAGACTATATAGTCTATCTGAGAAAGCATGACTACGATATCGGCTATGTCATTGATCCAATGACTTATGCAGATGTTGTTTCTTGTTCTCAGTCAGATTTGTGGTTAGATGTGATGAAAGACGAGATATAGTCTATGAAACATAATGGTGTTTGGGAGCTTATTGAATCGCCTGAATGTCACAAGCCTATCGGTTGTAAATGGGTCTATAAGACCAAAAGGGATACCAAAGGAAAGATTGAGAAGTTTAAAGCCAGATTGATAGCCAATGGTTTCACTCAGAGAGAAGGAGTAAGCTATGAAGTAACTTTCCAGTCTATTATGAAGATTCTTTCAGAGTGATCATGGCATTAGTGGTTCATTTTGATAGTTACACCAGATGGATGTTAAAAATGCTTTTTTGAATGAAGACCTTGATGAGGAAGTCTCTATGGTGCAACTCGAAGGTTTTGTAGCGGATGATTCATGTAAGCTTATGTGTAGACTGAAAAAGGCAATTTATGACCTCAAGCAAGCTTCTAGACAACGGTACTTAAAGATTCATAGTGTTGTCACCTCATTAGGTTTTGTTGAGAATAAAGTAGATCAGTGTATATACATTAAGGTCAGTGGGAGCAAATTTATTTTTCTCGTACTTTATGAGACAAAGTGGATGTTGTCGAAGAATTTTGATATGAAAAACCTTGGTGAGGTGTCTTTTGTCCTTGGCATTGAGATCCATAGAGATCATTCTGTCCAAGTATTGGGTTTATCTTAGAGGACATATGTTGATCGTATTTTAGAAAGATTCAGTATACAGTATTGCAAGCCAGGAATTGCTCCTGTCATTAAGGGTGATAAACTGAGTCTGTCGTAGTGTCCTCACTCAGATATTGAGAAAGCTCAAATGAAAAATGTACCTTATGCTAGTGCACTTGAAAATATCATATATGCTCAAGTTGCACTAGACCAGATATTACTTTTGTAACAGGGCTTTTAGGAAGATATCAGTCAAATCCAGGACACGATTACTAAGTTGCTGCTAAGAAGGTTTGAGGTACTTAAAAAGGACGAGACTATATGTTGATTTATAGACATGTTTAGGACTAGCAGCTAGTAGGGTATTGGGATTTAGACTTTGCTGGCTATCAGGATGACTTAAGGTTGACAACATCTTTAAGTTAGCGGGAGGTGTAGTATCATGGAAAAGCCAGAAATAGAATTTGGTAACATCCTCTACTACACAAGCGGAGTTTGTAACATGCTTTTCGGCTGCTACTCAGGCTATTTGGTTCTGAAACCTCATTAGGGAGTTGGTCGTGTTTGACTTTGTGGATAAACGCATACAGTTGTATTGTGACAATAACTCTGCAGTATTGTTTATCAACAACAGAGATCTCAAGGGGTCTAAACACATAGAGGTCAAGTATTTGACCATAAAGGAAACAGTTCATAAATGTGACATTAAAGTAGAGCATATTTCCACAGATGATATGGTTGCAGATCCACTAACTAAAGGCCTTCGCCCTTGTGTATTTGAACATGTCGTTTGCATGGGCTTAGGAGCATCATGGGATGCTGTTGTTTAGTGGGAGCTGTTTTTGTTTTGCTCTAATAAAATTTGCATCTGTGTTTTGTTACATTTAGTAACAATTTTGGATATGTAGCAACTCCTTTGCATTCAAAAGGTGTTTGTGAATGCATTGTTATTATGTTGAATACATATATCTGGTAAAAATCTCAACGTATTGTGTAAATCTTGAGTAAAGGCTAGGGGCATCCAGTTATTAACCTTAATGATATGTCTTGTTATACATAAAGTGAAGTTAACTATAAGGACGAGACATATGGAGGTTCATTGGAACCATAAGGATATTCTCTAGTGACACATCAGATTTTGTGACACTTAAGGAGAAAGAATGTTGATTAACAAGGGGATGACACATAAGGTATCACTTTCTTTGAGGGGTTATTCATTTGCCTCACAACCATATTGAATCCATATCAGTAGAATTAAAAACACTCGTGACCATGGAAGGCTTTGTGTGAGTTACTGCCACGATTCGGTATTTGAGATTTTATGGGATCAGATTGACTATTAAGAATAATCACTAGACCAACATAAATGTGCGAACATACAATACAGTTTCAATTAATATAGCCCAAGTGAGAGAATGTAAAAGTTTTTCTAATGTGGGCTTATATCAATTGAGATTGTACTTAATCGTTTTACATGATTGGTCTAATAAGGTATGATTTAAAGATTCTTAATTAGCTTAATATGGGGTATGGCTTGTGTGGGCCGAGTTGAGCCCGGTCCGTAATGAGAGGGTCTGGTTGAAAACTCTATAAATAGAGCTGGAAGTCTCTCATCTAGCCAACAATTATTCTCTAAAATTTTTAAATTTTTAGGAATAATTGGTTTCCTTTTCGACTTCAATTGCATTACTTTTATGAATTTCTTACGGAAATCAGAGTAGACAGTGATATGGTTTACAGAAACAGAGCGGAGCAAGGAACATCCAATGCAAGTTTGCAAATCTTTTGCAGAGTTATCAGACGTTCCCAATGTGCCGATATGGGACCAATATATACATGCGTATCACCAACAATGGATATTCTCATCTTAGAGGAACACCACAATGGAGTTGACCACCATTGTGGTGGTGATCAGTGCTAATGAAAAAAAACCAGTTTGACCCTGAAGATTGTAACCCTAGGTTGATTTTGATCTCTCTCTCTTACATGACCACTGTGGTAGAGAGAACACCAATCACGGTGGTCGTCGCCAGGTTGGGTCACCATCTTAGGCGGCGGTGATCGAATCGATTGTCCTTCAGTCTTAGGTCTTATTTATTTAATTATTTGAATATTTTATTTTTTACCCCATCCTATCATATGTTCATTAAAACTTAAAATGTCAGAATATGACTATTTTTCAGTATTTTTCCAAACCAAAATGTAAGTCATAAAAGATATGGAGCAATTTCTTATCGAACTTATAAGTAATAAGAGATTTTACAGAAACTCTCTTATTTGGTGATGTTGATTTTTATTGATTGCTGATCATTTAATGCACGAGTCCCTTTTATTTAAACACCTAATAAGAGAATTTCCATAAAATTTCTTAGTATGTCTAACATTGCTGATGTGCGCGGAAGCGTGAACGAGAGCGAGGGAATCAGGACGTGAAACAGAGTGGAAGAAGAAAATCACACTAGAAGTTTACGTGATTTGGTCCGAGTCTCGAAACCTATGTCCACAAGGAGAGCCAACAAATAAATCACTATCAAATCGGAGAAGTATTACAGAGTTTACAATCACTCGCAGTCAAGTGTTTCTCAGTCATATAATTACACTCGAAATCTATGATGTTTAACCTCACGTAAACACTCAAAATGGATGTAAATATATGCACAAACACGGGGATCTTCAAGAGAGCACCTTCTTGCTCTCACTTCCCACGCGAGCTACAGCTCTCACCTCCTTCCGATGAGAGCTTCTCTCCGTCTCCACCGTGGGCCTCACATTGTGGCCTCTTTCCACCTTGCTCACCAGCTTCCTCTTCTTTATTTAAAGAGAAGCTAACGTGGAGAGAGAGGACAAAAGAAGACAAGAATAAGAGGCATGACGAGCCATCATTATTCTTTCTCTCGTCTGCCATCATGGTTCATGATGGCCGAAGAAGATCTACGTGCTCTTCATTTCTACTCCTTCTCAGTCAAAGTCAACAATGATGGCTTCTCTCCTCTTCGGAGAACAAAGTCAAAGAAGCTGCTCATTTTCTTCTTTCTTCCTGCACGTTCACATGGCCTTTGTCAAAGAAGACAAAAGGCAAGAAGGGAACACGTTTAATGCAAAGTGGGCTGCCGTCCACTTTCATCCATTCATCCATGAAGATGGCCATCGCATGCATTCATTAATGCATCAAAAGAAAGAAACAAATCCTTTGGCTCCATTACGCTTCCGCTACGCCGAAGATGTAATGGGCATGTGAAGCATGCTTTTTGATATAAGAGTTCAAATTCAAGATATATTTTAATAAATCTCTGCTTTGGCTCGATATTTATAGCCAAATCATAATGCTGATTATCCATGTCAGCTCTCCCAACTCTCCTATGGGTGCTCACTTTCTGCATACACCAATCGAGCTACTGCAGAGCTTGGGCTTCTTCCACAAGACCAAAGCTGTTTCTCCATCGGCTACCTCATGAAGCTATTTTTGTAGACACCAATTGAGTTCCTGCAGAGCTCGAGCTTCTTCCACAAACCGAAAGCCGTTTCTTCATCGGCTACTTCACAAAGCACTTTGTCAGACAACGACAACTAGATGGTGCTCTGCGCCTTCTCTTTCATCTCCTCGAACAGACCAAAATTCCTATAGCTCACAGGTCCTCAGATCTCAATCTGGCTTTGATACCAGTTTGTTGTGCACGGAAGCGTGAACGAGAGCGAGGGAATCAGGACGCGAAACAGAGTGGAAGAAAAAAATCACACTAGAGGTTTACGTGATTTGATCTGAGTCTCGGAACCTACGTCTACGGAAAGAGCCAACAAATAAACCACTATCAAATCAGAAAAGTATTACAGAATTCACAATCACTTGCGGGTCAAGTATTTTTCAGCCCTATGATTGTACCCAAAATCCATGATGTTTAGCTTCGCCTAAACACTCAAAATGGATGTAAATATATGCACAAACACGGAGATCTTCAAGAGAGCACCTTCTTGCTCTCACTTCCCACGCGAGCTACAGCTCTCACCTCCTTCTGATGAGAGCTTCTCTCTGGCTCCACCTTTGGCCTCACATTGTGGCCTATCTCCACCTATTTGGCTCCAACTTTTTTCGTTTGGTTCGTGAACAGTCGCGAGCAATGAAGGCTTGCTTGAACCGAAACAGTTTTTCATTCGGGCGAACCGAACCTCACGAACAGACATTTTTGTTTGTCCAAAATAAATAAATAAATAATTTCTAACAAAACGTGTCTATTCGGAAAAAAAAACCGATGGAATGGACTCGGGCTTGAGCTGGCCGGATGGATTGCGGCGGTGCGCGTGGGGGACCGACCTAGCTTGGCGTAGGTCTTCTCTCTTCCACAAAAGTGGGGTACCCCTTGGGGCCCAAACCCATTTGAGAGGCTCATCTAAATAAACCATCTTTCATCACAATTTCTATCCAATGTGGGACTATTTCCATCCACACTTCTCATTTACAATTTATGGATTTTGGATACTAAAATCCTAATAACCCTAGCCTAGACTCCCAGTCTCATATGACAGCTTGTGAGCCATGAATACCATAAATTGTGATTCAATGAACTGACTGTGATAGTTGACTAGTAGCCAAGTAGATGCATCAAAGATTAAACATATCTTATTTTCCCGAAAAAATGGACCAACGGATACCTTCTTTATTGCCAAAAAAGTATTTATTAAATGCACCGATCCAAAAAATAAAAATTACATGATCTACTGAGCATATATCAATAAAAAAAATGGTGTAGTTTATAAAGCATGTAGATTAAGCTCATATGAATAATTGGTTGCGTGAATCTCACGTGAAATTCGAATATTTTTGTAGTAAAAAAATTTGTACCTAACTCTGAACAAGACCCAACATACCTGGTGGTGGAGATGGCGGCGGCGGAAGTGGCTGACTGACCGGGTCGAAGAACTGATAATTGGTCTCGTATAGGATCAGGCAACTTGGCACCATGAACCGTCCTCCTGTGTACTTGGCACAGCAGTCCCTGATCGTCTGGACGCCTATCATCAGGCAGTCGCTGCATTGCTGCTTCGTCAAGTCCGGTGTGCACTGCACCAACGCGTAGATCATGTCAGGCCCCGCTGATTCGTTCCCCGACGCGTACTTTCTCAGTGAGCCGCCACCCGCCGCCTCGGCCCACAGAGCATTCAGGAGCTTCCTTAGCACTGCGTCGTATGTGTCCGGGCTTGAGACCTCGTAAGAAGTTCTCACCACATAGGAGGGTTCTGTCGCGACTACACCGAGGAACGAGGTGTCTGAGTACCGGATGACACAGTTATCGGTGTAAAGGAATGCCTCCTTCTGGAGGGGGCAGAGGCGGCGGATGTCGGAGGCCAAGACATTGAGGCAGGTGCGGCAGCTCACGGCGGTTAAGTCACCGCGGCAGAGGCCAAAGACGTAGAGGGTTTGGGAGGCACCGGAGATAGCAGCGGAGGCATTGAAGAAGCCGTAGGAGAGGGACAAGGAGTTGGTGGTGGAGATGGAGGAGAGGAGGGTGGTAAGGGTGGTTTGGTAGGTGCTGTTGGCAGCGAAGTTGCCGGTCGAACCACAGTGGGTCACTGGGAATTGGGCGTTTATGGTGGAAGCAAACATGAGAAGAAGCAAGAGAAGGAGACTTGCAGGATCCATTTTTTTCTTTGGGTGATTCGGGTCCCTCTTTGATAGAAGTATTACTCAACAGGTTCGTTCCGTAGATAATATGACTACCGTGTTGATAGCGTGCAAAACAAAATGTGTCGAATGATTTTTATATAGGGCGGCTGCCATGCCTAGCACGCTAGGTCCAGCACGTAAAGTTGCCGCAAAGTTGTCGTGTTTCTTGAGGGGCAATTATCGAGTCACGAGACACTGTTGATTCCTTTGACTGCGTCTCTGTCTTTTGCAAGTATAATAAGGCGACCGGCGCTTTCCAAGCAATGAGCAATTCGAGTCTCGAAGAAGCATCGACTCTAATGGAAAAGAAAAGTTGAAAAATAATGTGGACCCAACATTTTATATTACTTAGTACTTTGATAAGAGGAAACTTCCACTTAAACCCTATTCCATAATTTAAAATTAGAAGTTGTTGAATGATTGCTAATGAACGGAATAGGAGAATCTGATTTGGTTTAATTAAGAAGGACCAAAAAGTCCCTTGAGCAATAACTCAAACATACAAGATTTCGGAACTTGCAAATTGAATGATTGCTAATGAATGGATGAACCGTACTTTGATCTCCTAACTGGAAGATTTATCCCAAATTTCGATTTCAGATTGGCTATTAACCACTAATGATAAAAGTTCAAGGTTTAGTGCGAAAAACTTACTTTCCCTACTTTACTTTTTTATATCAAAAGTTAGTAACCCTGTAAATTTAAAAGTACAAGATTTTTAGGTATAAATGCAATGAGAGTTCTAGTGTAACATCTCAAATTCCACTTTGCTTCCGCTACATCCTACTATTCTAGGACTTCGATCTCCTATTCTCCCCAATCCAGATGAATTCGCACATATTATTAGTAAATCAACGTCCATGACGTGGAGTAAACACATCACCGACTGCGCATGTACTCTATCACTTCTTTTAGAGATCATAAATGCTAATAATAATAGATAATAAATAAAGGCCTAAGACTAAATGGGGAAAATTATTTAAAAAGACTTAAATATATTGTACTTTTTCCAATTAAGTCGTAAACTTTTCAATTTTACCAATTGAGTTTTAAACCTTTTTACGTTTTGCCAATAAAGTCCATTCGGCCAATTTTGATTGAGAATCGCTGACGTGAATGTTGGTCGTCCTAAGTGGCATGACTGATGATGACATAAACAAGTCTTAAACCTACACGGCATGGCCGACGTTGATGAGGGGGGCCCTCGCTAGCTTAGGCTAGGCGAGGGCTGCCCTCCTTTAGGCGAGCAATGGCAACCCTCGCCCTTGCCTGAGGCCGGCAACCTCCGCAGCCATTGACGAGGCCCGGCAGAGGGAAAAAGGGAAAAAGAAAAACGAAAAAGAAAAAAAAGAAAAGGGAAAAAAAAGAAAAAAAGAAAAGAGAAGAAAAGGAAAATAAAGGAAAAAAAATAAAAAATTTAAAAATATTATTAAAATTTATTCACGTCTTGCCTTCCGGAAGGTTCGAGGACTTTGGCTTCAAAGGATGTTTTGCTCATCACCTACATAGACATTAAATATTTGGGAGAGAAGAGCGCGATGCTGAGGCATCGGTTTAGTAACTCAGTGGATAGTTCTTCGATTTTGGAGATTATGGAGTTGAAGAAGGCCATGGCTCCTATTCTAATATTAACGCGGAAACTATTAGGATTTTACAATTTAAATTAATGCGAAATCAATAAAAAATTAAATGAGGAACAATAAGGACATAAAATATTTACGTGCTTCGCTCTGAGTGTCGGTACCTACTCCACGAAAAGAGCCAGCAGTAAATAATCTGTACAATTATTTGCATGCTCAAGTATTTTCTTCACCTAAATTACAGCCAAATCCAGAATGTATACAAATAAATAAAAAACTCAATTTGAATGCAAATCCGTGTTCGAAACTCTTCGCGCGGCTGATTAAAGATTTCTTTGTTAAAGTTCTCTACACGTTCTCCGAAGAAAAACTCCACACGCGGCTTAACACAGAGAGCCTCACTTGTACTTTTTCTCTTGCTGCTATTTTTATATATGAGTCAACAAATCAGCTTTGACCAATCAAGAAAGAATAAGATCTCCACTTGCCTTATTATTATTTTTTTAAACAGAAGGAAACATCCTTATCAATTCCTCCTGTGCATTAAGAAGAAAAAAATAGATAAAGCCAAGAATCTCATCTAACGGTAAAATAAGAATCCCTTGTATGCCTTCAGAGGAGTCCAACTAATATGGGGTCAAACATGACTGTTGATCTATATCCACTTCTCATGGCCACAATTGAATAGAAAGTAGGCATATTATATACCGGCTCAAACTCGAGACATTATTTAACATCTCCTGATAAGTTGGTGGAGCTATGCATGATTGACCAAAGAGAGCTAAGAGGTTTTTTTTAGTTATGCAAGATTTAGTCAAAAAGAAAGAAAGAAAAAGATGGATAGTAAAAGAAAAAAAGGGTTAATATCACGAAAAGCCCAAATTGATAAATCTGTGACAAATTTACCCTCTGTTAGTTTCCGTTAAATTTTACGATCAAATTGCTGAGTTGGATGACACGTAGCAGTTGATGGTGTACCAGTTTTGGATTTTACCCCTCTGTTTATCACAGGTTTATCAATTTGTGATTTTTCGTTATATTAATCCAATTTAACAGAGAGTAAATTTGTCACAAGTGTACCAGTTTAGGGTTTTTGATAGTTAAAAAATTAGTTTGTAGTAAATTTGTCACAGGTATACCAGTTTGGATTTTTTGGTGGTCAAAAAATTAGTTCGGGGTAAATATGTCACAGGTATACCGGTTTGTGATTTTTTGTGATATTACCCTAAGAAAAAAGAAGATGAACTGTAAAAGAAAGAAGAAAAAGAAATATATATATTTATAAAATTCAGAAAATTACTTGAAACAACGTCGTTTTGACCAAATTTGTTTTTGTTAGATCGCCGACACGCTAAGTAGGACAGCCGACGATGAGTGGACCGCTACATTAGCAATTTCTGGTGAAAATTAGCCGAAAGGACAGCATCGGAATTTTGCGCAAAGATATTTTACTAAATTGAAAAAAATGGAAAAGCTTATGATTAAATTGATATGCATAGAACAAGTTTAATATTGATTGAGTAATCTTCCCCACGTGTCCACTAGCCAATGCTTTAGCATGCAAATGAGCTACATGTCCTTTACCATGCATTTTCACGCAAGATAAGACTTTGTCTATTTGACCAAACCCATTTCTTAAGCAGGTAGTGCCACTTCTCAACGGAGTTTAAGACCTTCAATTTGCTAAGGTATAAAAAGATCTTTTGTGTATTCGGCACTTGGTCCCTTTTTTTTCCATGCTGTCTCCTACTCAACTTACACGCGGCCCGGGTATTTGTCAAAATTCCTGAGAGAAGGAAAGAGGAGTTTTTGGTCGCTTCTGCTTGGCTACCACTCCCTTCGCAGCTCGCCGCTCCCCTAGCTCGTCAATCGATGTCCACCGTTCGTCCCCCTGCTCCTGACATCACAAGTCGTCTCTCTCTCGAAAGTCAAATCGCTGATTTTGCTGTTTGGGGTAACGGGGGACGCTGGGTTGCGGGTTGTGTTTGATTTTTACTCGTCGAGGTCACTGGTTGGGTTGTTGTAACTGATGGTCTAGGTTCTTGAGTGCTTCGACCCACCTCCCTAGCAGTAGACAATGGCCCATTTCACCAGGAATAAGTTCGAAAATGGTGGTTTGAACCCAACATGGAAAAGGAAAAAAAGGAAATATTGGAAAATCCTCATCTCCGATCTCCCGAGAACTTGATGCACTTTCTACATAAATAAAGAATAGCCTCTTCAGTTCACAAAAGGAGGAAGCAAAAGCAGTGGCTTTGATAGTTAATGATATAGGCTTACCGGGTACAATTTTTGTCGATGTCCCTAATTGTGATGATGATGGTAATTGTACTGCTGGTAGATATATGTGTGATGTTGATGCTGAATTTAGGGATGGGGTAAGTGTTGATGTTGATGTTAGGTTTGGCAACTGTGCGTCTTAACCTGGATTAGCGAGAGAACTTGCCCCGTCAAGTGTGTCTTGGAAAAGCATTACTATGGGTAATCTTGCCCAGTCTGCTAAGCTAGATTTTCACCATCCTATCAAGAATGGAGATAAACATATAGCAGTTCCTCCCCTTGAGGTGTTAGATGAGGGTTTGTCACATTTCCAAAACTGCCAGGGCCAGATGTTAAGGCGGGGCCGAAAAGACCGTAATTCAAACCCCGACAATAGGAAAAAAATGATCCAAAAGTTTTAAAGATAGTGCAATTCTTGTCAATACTCAGATGCAATGGCAGATCTTAGGAACATCGGCAAAGTGTTCATACTCTCATTTATTTCTATTGCTTCAAGGAAGCGAAAATGATTCTACTTTGTGTTTATAGAAACATTTTAAGCGACAAAATAAACTCTTAAAAAGAATAAGGCATAGTCTATTTTGATGATAATAAGGAAATATTCAAACTAGCCACAAAATTGAAGTGGGAAAGCATCCTAGAAACATATGGAATTGTATTGAATGAGTAGTATTTGTGGCTATGACTTGTATTGAATGATCTTTCAGCGATATTCTTGGAAAAAAAGATTGACTGGTGGCCGGACGCTCAAACATGAACGACACACACCCGGAAAAAAACATAAGAGCAGGTTTGTCCATATACTATGTGTTGCTTCACCAAAAAACATCCATCAAATTGCTACTTTACCGCAAATTCTTATCAACGATATATTCAGATGCAACTGATCATACTACATGGTTAGGCCATCTTTCCTGTGCCTTTTGCTTCGCAGTTTCTGGTGCAACCACCATGAGAATGAGTCCATTCTGATCCACATCCATAGCAAAACTGAACCTGGCACTTGCAATTGCAAGCCACCAAGGAACAACAATATGGCCCACCAAAAGTAGAAAAGTATGAACAATTGAACATTCGCAAACTCAGGTACCACTAATTTTGCTGAGGGATTCATAGCAAAACACTAACCCGCGTGATTTTGAGTACCAGTGATTGACAGAATTAAGCAAAGTGGCCTCAGTGCTTCTTATATA